CAACTTATTATGGTTTCCACAAGGATGCTATACTTATCTCCAATACTATTTGGTCTCAAGTACGGTTTCTAGCACACCTTAGAGAGCACACAGTCATTAGAGCACACTTGAAGAGTTCCCACCCTCAACGACTTCCTTGTTCTTGATTGATTCCTCTTATGGTTTGGGGTGCCATTGCCCCCTCCCCAGAAGACGCGAATAAATCGAATGAAGCAACCGTCAACAATCAGCGTCAATTATGACCATGTTCCCATACATCCATCGTTCTATATAGATTTATGTACATATATACAATTTCGATTCGGGACAATCAACTCTTTTTGGGTGGAGAGCCGAGCTCCTTCCGGTGCTTGAAATAAATCTTCAAATTAAGTTTTTGTCTTCCAGAAAATTCTCCAAAATCGAAGCAATTTTGTATTATGTTGTTTATTTTGCTTTCCTTCTGCTCGAATTAAGAACGAGAGAAACAGAAAGGGGAAGAGATACACAACAAAAAATTGAATGCGAAATCAAAAACGATCAAAATGAGGCTTTTGAATGACCACTTGGCACAATCTGCGAGGTCTACACCCCGATAGATGGGGTTATATGGCTTTGTCTCTTTCCAGAAGTGTGTGCGAGGGTTTTTCAAAGAGTTTTTTGAAGGCGAAGCTTATCTGAAACTGGAATCAGTTGAGTATGGGATCAAATTTCCAGCATCCGATGGAGCTCGCTCTAAAGGACTATAGAACTTAAAGAATATCCTATGAACAGGGTCAAGGAGCGTTTCTTCCTTTCTCTCTTTTTCCCCAGGGTTGGTTCTAGACGTATTTGAAGTACTTGTTAGATGGAACACCTTTGGAATCCATATCTTTTCATAGAATCCATAACTTTAAGAGTCACCCGCCTGTCGGGGAGTCTGACAAAATCTGACAGCAACCAAACTGTTTGTACAAAATGAACTCAAATGCGAAAATTACACCCCAAGCGACCAATTTAAAACCATTAAATTATAATTTTAAACTTTAAAGAGCTTCAACGACTTAAGGGGCAGGCAGGCACAGGCACCGCTCAAGGAAATGGAGGCAGGTCGGGCCCCAGTCGATGGGCATTATTCAATTAGGGAAGACGCATTTGTATAGTTTTTTTCGGCTCTGCCAAATGGAGTGCGTTGGATCCCCTGCCCCTGCCTCTGCCTCCCCACAGAATCGGATGATCTCTTTGGATTCCACAAAGCGTTGCCTCATGGGGATTGCAACACGAGTTCCTGTCCGTTACACGAGTAAAACGGTTAATTTCGAACCCGAATGCATTTGGTGGGAACTGATTTTCGAGTGTGTAGGTGTATAAACGTTTTGCTCTTTATCTCTCTTAATCTATGCGTTCGCACTCTCACCTCCCACACCCCTTCGGACCTGACACTCATAATTAAAGAAACAAATAAAGCACAGTCGTCGGCAGAGGCTGGGGCGGGGGCGGAGGTGGGGGCGGAGGCAGAGGCAGAGGCAGAGATCTGGATGCCATGACCACGACGCAGCAGCCGAGGCGACGCGTCGCAGCGGTCACATTTACATAGTGTAAGCAGCAGAAGACGAAGAGGAAGTAAGCAAAGAAGAAGTAAAAGAAGCGACAAAGGCCACCACCATAGCAACAGCGGCCAGAGGGAGAGCAGCAGAAACAACAACAGCAACAGTAAGCGCAAGGTGTATTCATACAAGGTGAGGTATTCGAGGAAAGTGCTCTCATCGTATTTGTACTTAATTACCAAAAATAATTAAAAATGAATATCATAATACCGAAAATAATTATGCCATAGTCTGACAAATCTACAATAAGTTATCTCGAAGATCGGGAATGTGCCATACCTCGAATACAAACATCTTGGGTAAAAGCAGCAGCAGCAGACGCTGCAGCAACAACAACCACACGCTCTGCGACGAAGCCAAGTCATCGTCGGCACTTGTCGTGTCTGGCAAAGCTTCGTTTTAAGCTGAGCGCGAGCCGCCTGGCTTCCCATTGCCTTGACTTTGACTTTAGTCTAAGCAAAAGAGAGCTTTTAAGCCACCGACGTCGGCGCGCTGCTGGTGGCGACTGCGGTTTGGCTGCTGCTTGTCTTAGTTCTTTAAGTCCGTCGTTGGCCGGGCTCCTCTTCAGTTCGTGCTGACCATCGTACCCGTGCGGACGTTCCAAGCTCAGAGACCCGATCCGATCCAGACGTTTCTCGTGTAGTGTGGCTGCACTTTGCACTATTTGGCTCTACCAAAAACACCCCAAAACAGCAAAAGCCAAGCAAAACATTTTGAAATTTTCAATGAAAATCTGAAAAAAAGATCAAGTTACGCGGCGCGAGTGCAAATCAAAACGGTAGCTAAAAAATACTCAAATAAAAAAAAGCAAGACGAAATAATAATAATCAAAAAAAATGATTAGTAATTTTTATTGAGTGTAGAACAGTCATTGGTCCTGCTTAACACTTGGCTGTGGAATGTCCAGGCTTCTAGTTTTTGTTTTTTATTTTCTTTTTTTTTGGCCAGAATGGCACCTGGAAGGAGCAATGGGGAATCGGGCATCGGGAATTGGACTAAGGCGCGGCCATTGGGCGACTGTGTAATTTCTGTTTTCTTGCGCATTCAATGCACACACACTCGAAGTTTTTTTTTTACGAAAAGCGTAAAACGTAAGGAAAACAAACAGCAAACAACCAGATAGACAAACACACTACCAGGAAGAGGAGGAGGAGTTGGTGGGGCTTTGGCAGCCGCAGTGGCAGTGGCAGTGGCAGTGGCAATGGCAGTTGCAGGAGAGGCAGTCAAGTGAAGACAGTGCAGCGCACTCCTGTCCCCAGTCTTCTGGCCAGTTTGGAGATGGAGATGCAGATGCACAGTGAGGCCCAGGCCTGGTCCATGCCACCGCCACAGCCACAGCCACAGCTACAGCTAAACTCCAGCCACATGTGTGTCTCCCTCTTCTTCTCGCGCGCTGTCTCTCTTCCCCCTGCTATCTGTCTCACTTGTGGTGCTGCCGCCATATTGGGTGCATAACGGTGCAAAAATCGCGCTGCTTTTTTTTACCTTGTGTCTAAGATGGTTCTGTTCTCTTTGGCGTTCTTGCCACGGCCACTGCCACACGGTCCCGACTCCATCCCCAATCCCCATCCCGGGCTCTCTGTGTGCATTGGCATTGATGACGACCCAGCGACCGATAGACCGACCGAGACGACGACGGCGACGGCGACGGCTACGACAGCAGCGAACAAAAAATGTTGCCAGAGCGGGGCTCCCATCTGCTTCTCCGCCTCCTTTCAGTTTTTGCGGTTAGCCATCGCAACACTTTGCACATGCTGATCGATTGTGGGGAGATCATCTTCATCTCCATCTCCATTTCCATTCCCATCTCCCCTCAGACCTGCCTCCTCGCCTGCTGAGTGGGTCAGCAATTGAACCGTTTGCCCTGCCCCAGGCTAGAGGCTGCAGTCTTAAGGCTCCAATCCACAAGTAACGCCCACGCACATCACCTTCTGGCCCCACATGAACTTCCGCCTTTTGGGGGCTTACCCTTTTTGCTGACCAAATGCAAATAGTCGTAATCTTCTTCCCAGACGAACCAACCCACCCATTCGCCACGGCTGTAACGTGACCAAAGGCCAGAGGCGGAATTAGCATGAGAGATGGTTGGAGCACTAAAACGGGAGATCTACTAATTCTTAGGCCCACCCCACTGTGCACCCCTTGGTCCAATTTAAATTGAACTCTGGAGGCCCTTTCCTCAGCTTCAGCAACGTTTCTGCTCTTCTGCTCTCCGGCCTTCTATGTCTTTTTTATTAAGTTATAAAAAAGCGGGAGATGGGAGATGGATGTTTTATAGACCTTTTTCTCAGCACCGCATAACGGTAATGCCCCCGAGAGCGCCACATTCTCAGACCTCAGACCCAGACCCAGAGACGGAGACAGACACAGAGACAGACCCAACGACAGACCCAAGAGAAAGACCCAGCCGACAGCGATCCGAGCGGTACACCAGGGACGGGACCCCAGACTCATGCATTGCAATAAAATGAAATTTTATAACAGCAGCAGCGAGCGACAACAAAAACGTTGCCCAAATTCGAAAAAAAAAGAATACAAGAAAAACCAAGACGGCGAAAGAATGGCAGAGAGGGAGGGAGAGGCAGACAAAGGTCGTCACAGCAAGTGAAAATAGCAAAAGAGAGACAGAGAGAGAGAGAGAGGGAGAGGGCGAGGGCGAGGGAGAGGTGGAAACCCGAAAACGGAATACGCTTTGAGTTCGTTCAGGTGTTAATTTCCCATTTTCGGGGTTTCCGCATTTCCCTCCCCACTCCGTTTTGAGGCGAGTTCGTTGCCTAAGTCTTTCGTTTTTCGTTTTTCGTCTGCCGTCTTTCGCTTTAAAGTGGAGCGCGCACCGCTCGAATGCCCCCAACTGAATGCGAATGAGGGGCGTATGAGCCACTAGCCGGCCGGTCCCGGTTCCCCCTTTCCACTATTCCCATCTCTGTCCCCTCTGTTCCCTCTTTCACATCTGTTCCCTCTGCATCCCACTGCAAAAAAAAAAAAAATAAAATAAAAACAGAAATTATTATTATTATTATTATTATTTCGTTCTTTTTGTTTTTTCGTCTGTTTGGCTTTTTTGTGGGGCGCATTTCCTTTACTGCCCCCTCGAAAAAGACACACGGCAGAAAAACCCCAACGTTTTTCGTTCCGTTTCTGACCCTAAAAGTTCAAAAGTTTAAGTCAAGTTTTCCCAAAACCAAATCCCCGACTCCTTTCCACAGCAAAAAAAAAAATAAAAAAAATAAAGAGAAAAAAGGAAAACCATATATTAACGACTGCAACGAGGAGTACCAGTAAAAACCTCAACAGATCTCAACGGAAAGCCACACACAGAAACAAAAAGAGAGTCTTCTTTGGCCTGCAACTGCAACAGATCCCCGAGGCAGCAGCGCTTCTCTGGGAGCTTCAAGAAGCGGCACAATGACAGCGACTGCGACAGCAGCGTCCGCGTCAGCATCGGCAGCGGCAGCGGCGAGAAAGCAACCTGCAACAATCGCAATGCTCAATGGAAACGCTTTTACGGTTAAGCGGCTCTTAGCGGTAAGTGAACCCAACTCCCATTTTGCACCCCCTTTCAGGGCGTTGCCAATTCAAATTGCTCCACAAAAGCATCCACAAATACGAAATAAATGTTTGTCAACTGCTCCGTCGATCCATTGTTGATGGCAGCACCAGCACCAGCAACAGCTCTCTACAATCATTTTTTTTTTTTTGGCACAACTCTTCTTTTCTGGTGTGGGCTGCCGCCTGCTGCCTGCTGCCTGCTTTGGCACTTCAATCGTGGGCCGCGCGCGCGTTCTTTTCTTTCTGTTTAAAGAGCTGTGAAGTCGGCCATTGGGTCAAATTGTAGCTGATAGATGGATAGGGAGGCAGTCCGCCTAGCAGATGATGCTCTTCATCGTCTGCGGATGATGATGATGATGATGTACCATCGGTTGGGGGTCTCTTCGCTTCACTTCTTCAATCCGAGAGTAATGTGGGCAAATTAATCTAATAAAAGGTGGGAGTTTATTCTCTTCTTTTTGCTCTGCTCTGGCGCTGCATTAACTCGGAATGAATGAATTATTTGGTTCATAAAATTTCATTGCCCGACACTTAATCATTATTATGGGCATAGGTAAGGGGACGGGTATGCGTCGGGGTATGGGTATGGGTATGGGTATGGGTACGTGTACTATTCGTAGAGAGTGTTTCCTTCCACTCGGTGCTTGCTCGCTGGGAACTAGTTTGCCTATAAATAGATGCTTCTATTGAATTGGTTGACTCTTTTTATGGATTCATTAGCGGCGGGAAAGAAAGAAACAAAAAGAAAGGAAGTTGCGGAAATTTTATGGAATTTATAATGTTTTAGGGCCTTTGTGGAGCGGCTCTCTTTGTGTGTTTCTCTTTTTCTTTCCATAACTTTTCCTGATAATCCGATGGGTTTTTTTCATATCTTCTCAAAGCAGAAGAACTTTGCCTCTGTAATCCCAGCAAGGGCTTGGGGGGCTTACCACGCTCTGTCTTCGGCCAACAAACAATTTATCCATTTCAATGTTCTGTGTTCTGGGTTCTGGGATCTGTGTTCTGGTCAGCCCCAAAGCCCCTCAAGTGCATTCATCTTGGGCCTCCATCTTGGAGGCTGCTCCACCTGCATTTGGCCCGGCCAAAGGTCAGCAGACAGTCTGGCGCCCGACGATCATTAAAAAAAAGTACGAAAGTAATTTGTAAAACACGAAAAATTATTTACTTTTTTTTTGCTGCTGCTGTTCTTGCTGTTCTTTTACGATTCTAAATTACAATGACCTAACGGGCAGCAGCAGCAGCAACAGCAACAGCAACAGAAACAGCAACAGAATGCAACTTCAACGGCAACGGGTCTTCATTAGCACAGAAGACCGACAGCCGCGTATTGTAAAAATTCTTGGCCATAAACCCAAAAACAGAAAAATAAATAAGCCAAGACACAGAATCGGAGAAGCGGAGAGAACCCACAGAGAACAGAGAATCCGGAGGAGAGATGCATTCTTCGGCCGCTTGATGAATGATGTTTTGGCAGCTTTAAAGACCATCTGCACGGTCAGGCCGAGACATTTGGCCAAGAGATGGAAGATGAATGGCCAGGCGGAGCATTACAAATGGCCGGGTGGACACGGCCTGACGGCTATTAGCCAGTACCTGTGCCTGAATCTGTACCCTCTTCTGTACATCCCCAGGCATCTCTGTACATCTCTGCATATTCCCCCCGTTTCGAGTGGACTCTCCTCTGGCCCCATCGAAAAGGTTGTCAAATCTGGCCAAACAATGAGCTGGCAATGAAAGTAACTTGGCCTTTATTTATTGGGTCAATAGACAGACAGAGGCACACACACTCCACAGTCCACACCACAATCTAATGGGGCACATTCTCTATTGGCCTCTCTCCCCATTCTACGAGTATCTCGTGCTCGAAAGCCTCTTGAAAGCGTAATTAAACAATTTCTTCTCATTCTTTATTGACATTTTATTGATGCCGCCAGTTCTGATCGCGCGGTCTCAGTCTCAGTCTCAGTCTCAGTCTGAGACGAGATCTCTGAACGGTTCCATTTCATTCGTATTGGCTTTGGATTCAGGTTCTGTTTCTGTTTCAGTCCGAGATACTTTTACCCACATCGAGGGGCTCTCATTTGTTTTGTATTCTTGCTATTGATCTCATGAGTGATCCATTGAGTGTTTTCTTATGGCTCTTTAACAATCGTTGGCACCTTGGAGTGCTGTAAATCCGTGTGTTATTCGAGCAGCAAAATGATCTTCAAAGCCTAGAAAATAAAACACTTTTGTCTGAGAATTACAAATATTTATAGAAATGGTTAATTGCTGCAACAGCGAACGAGTTTAAAGATGGATTAATGGTATTTGGATAACAAATTCATATTCATTTCAATCGCTGTAAAATATCTAGAATATCTTTTGGTTCCAAGAATTTCCAACTACACATCTGTAATGATTGTAATTCCCGGAAAGTACTTACTAGTCCAGGAATCATGGGATACGATGCACATCTTCATTTGTCACAATCAGCGATGGCGATAAAGGATTCTTCTGATGGCAACAAAGTTGCCCCCTTCCTGCCTATGATTCAACGAGTAACTGTGCTTTTAATGTCTCAACTTGTACAATTTTCCAGAGAGAGAGAAAGAGCAGTGGTGGGGCCGAGGCGTCTCGGATTGCGTGACTGTGGAATTGGCATCCAAATTGGAGAATTCTTACCAATTAGCTGCTGGGGATGGGGCTGGGGCTGACCAGGGGAATTCCCCCAACGCAAACTTTATGTAATCATTGGATTTAATGCGTTAACAAAATCCGAGGCGGGGGAGCGCCGACAGAGGGAGGGGATGGCATGTAGGAGGAGAGTACCGTTGTTTCTAGTATGCAAAAGAACAGAACCCGAAACCGAAACCCAGTTACCGAACTCTTGTGTATCTGTGTATCTCTGTATCTGTATCTGTATCTGTATCTGTTTCGGTTAGGTAATGCCCCAGAGTCAAGAGCCCAAGAGCCCAAGTGCCCAAGAGCCCAAGAGCCAGTATCCCAGAGCCCAAGACCCAGAGCCATAATTAATGGCGTGTGGCGCTCATTCGCGATGAGCAGAAAGTACATTGCACTCTCTTCTGCCACAAAATTCAGCTTTTCAGCTTATTTATTAGCCAACAGCAGAGCATAGCACAGCAGAGCATAGCACAGCAGAGCATAGCACAGCAGAGCACAGCACACGTTCTAACTGCAAAATAGGAAAGAAAAACAAGAAAAGATCCAGCAGCACGAAGCGTATGGAGTGCTCTCCGCCTTCCTTGGATAGTAGGTTCCCTTGGTTTTTGTTTCGGTTTTGTTGTTGTTTTTGTTTAATTATAGATCCCAAGTATTCCTCTGCCACAGTGCTCCTACTCCCTGCCCCTGGGGCGTGTGTTTGGTGTTCAGGCAACTGTTAATTCTGTTTTACAACTTGCGACTCCGTATCGCTATACCATCTATAACGTATCTCTCTTGCGGTAACTGTGTCTGTGCCCCACACACACACACACACACACACACACACAAGCAGCCAAAAGATACGAATATACATGTATCTGCCAGATACATTTACTCGTATACCCATGCGGTATTTCATTCATAAAATAGACCTCAGCGACTGCGCCGATTACCGCCGATTAGAGCAGTTTTTTGTGGCTTTTGTCGGCTACGAATATTCCGTGCATCCGAGCAATTTGTTTTTTATTTATTTATTTTTTTTTTTGCTTAATGGTGATGGACGGAGAATCTCTGACAAGAGTTGTGGCCAAGATCCATGTTGTTGGCCAATTTGTTGGCTCATTTCTGTTAAGTTAGGGTCTTTCTGCATTACTTAATCATAGCTTATGCCAAGCTAATTGAATACGGGATTTATTCACTTTAAATTGGATAATAAAGAAGGGCCTTTGGAAGTGCCGCAAAGTAAACTGGAATACTAGGCGTATAGACAGGAGAAATCTGCGGAAGCTCTGCCAAACTCATAGATTCTCTTGGAATTATCGATGAAAAATACCTGTCACATTCAGTTAACCCTCCGATGGGGTATTTCTATCGATTTCGATTGATCTGCCACATTCCATGCACTCAATATTCTTCCCTTTTGCTAATCCCCGAAATCTCTGTTCTTCCTCCTTTTGCAGCTGCTCATCATCTTCACAGTGCTGCACAGGAGTGAGGCCCTGGAGCTCGGAGACAAGTGCCAGCATGATATGGACTGTACAGATTTCATCAAGGGCTCCAGCTGCTCGGCCCTGGGCTACTGCGAGTGTGCGCCATATTTTGTTCAACTGAATTCCAAGCGCTGTTTGTCATGTAAGTAGGCAATGTCAATCTTTGAATGGCCCCAAAACACTTGGCTCCAAAGAGTAGGAGTGCGAGTGGGAGCGGGAGTGGGAGTGGTCGCATGGAGACATGGGCAAACATTGGACTAAAGAATGTTTGCCTGCTTGTGGGCAAACAATGGGGTGGACGATGAGGAGGGAGGGGACTGTCCATATGTTTGTCCATCCCAAGAACCGTTAACACAACTCGACTCTCACTCTGTCGTATCTCTTGGATGCATTTCTCTGACACTGACTCTGACTCTGTTTCTCTGTCTCTGTCTCGTTTCCACAGCCCAACTCTTAGGCGGCGACTGCCAGCTGAGCGAGCAGTGCTCGATGAAGGTGGCCAACAGCAGCTGCCTGGATGGGGCATGCCGCTGCGTCGAGGGATTCTTGCAGTTCCGCAAGCACACCTGTCTGGGACGTAAGTATCAGGCGACCGTTGGCCAGCAACTCTTGTGGCCCTAACGGGGGGCGCGGTAGCGGGGAGCCTGGAGTAGTCCACACTCCACTCCACTGCACTCCACACCACACCACACGATGTTGCAACATTAAAAATTAACTCTTAATAATATCATTACCTGTTCGTTTCGGTGTTTGTTGTTTGTTGTTTTGTTTTGTTGCAATAAACGAACGCAGCTCTGGCCGCAGATGCGATGCAGGCTAATCACAAAAGAATCATCTCTTTGATTGCTTATCATTTTTCTATCTCTCTTCGTTTGGAATGTCACGCAATGTGGCATCTACTGAGCCACCCCTGTGCCAGCAGCAACATTTCCTGTTTGCAGAGTTTGTTCGTTAGCGCAGAGTTTTCCTTTCTTCAGCCGCACTGCCGCACAGCCTCAGAGCCTCAGAGCCGCACTTTTCTGCCACTTGACACAGGCAATTAACATGGCCATAACAATAGGCGATGCAATAACGAAAGAGCAATGAAAATGGCCCCACAGCCGCCAGAGTATCTCAGAGATACTCTAACCAGACAATCGTGTCACTAATTATACGCATAATTGGTTAATTTTCCAAGAACTGGCTAACAACCTGGCTAGAAATCGCCGCCACGGCCACACACTGCAGCAGCAGAACCTCAAATGTAAAATGTAAATGTTTGACTCTCCACATCTTCGATCTCTTTCTCTCCATTCATGGTGTGTGTGTGTGTGTGTGTGTGTGTGCCTGGTGTTTGCTATGGCGAGATGTGTGAAAGATACATTTCGAGATACTTCGAGGCTTCATCTGTGGATACGGATACTGCAACTGATCTGAGGGCTGGCTAAGAGGCAGTGACGCATATGACGCATATGGCCTTTGGTTGAATCATTCTGGGCACAGATGAATCACAAAAGTTACTGGGGAAAGTCTATGGGGCTTTGCACAATCTTCTTCACACCGAAGCCATACCATTCCATAAATAATGATCGATAGAGATCTGAACTCTTGATCCCATTTCGTAACTTTTCAATAAACCATCTCTGGAATAGACCTCTGTTCTGAATGAACGAGGCTATATGCCTTAGAGAGACGATCTTTAGAAGAGGAACTATTCTTATTTGGTTTCCAGTAGTGCTCTGAAAAGTATACACAGGTTTCAAACAGATTTCACAGGTCCTCAGTTCCCTGGAGAAGCACAAATGCGACCACTATCACAGTGATCACTGATACATTTTCAAAGCGTTCCCATTGCAGTCATTGTTTCCGTGGGTCTCCAGCCCTGCAGCCCTACTAGATCGGCATCTAGCTTGAGAATTCCACATCCTTTTGGCACATTGGCGCCAAGTGGCGTTAATCTGATTAGAATGAATGTTGACTAGAATCGAGAATCAAGAATCGAGAGGAGGCCATATGGCAGAGGGAGCCCTCCCTCCTTGATCCTCCCTCCTTAGCAGAGCGAGAGAGACCAGAGACCAGAAACAGGAACACGATCAAAGGAGACCAAATAGGCACGATCATGGACATGGTGCAACTTCTACAGTTCGTGTCATTGCCATTCACCTGTTGTTGCTGCTGTTGCAACAGTTGCTGCTGTGGCAGCAACTCCTTCTTCTTCTTCTCCTTCTCCTTCTCCTCGCCTCCCCTCTTTCTCCTCTTCTGACTTAATTATATAGCCATGGAATTCTATATATCCGAAAGGGGGGCGTGCCGCGACATCTGGCCGAGAGTGAGCTTCATATTTAATTAAAAGTAATTTTAATGACAAGAAGCGTGTGGTCAAAGTCAGGTGCTGCAAGCGACTGCTGTGGCAAGTGCAGCTAGTGGCAGCCAGGCAGTTGGGCAGCAGGCATTCATTTATGAGATACTTTCACCAAAAAAAAAAAAAAAAAAAAAAATAGTTAGAAAAAACACAATGGCAGCGGAATGAAATGAATGAACCTTTCACCAAAGGAAAATCCTATCCTTGGCATTTGCCACAGAGCGAGCTCTGTGTCTCCTGTTGCAGCCTCTGCTTCTGATTTGTATCTGGCATATCTCTGTCTCTATCTTTCTCTCTCTCCTTCTCTTTCTCCTTCTCCCTCTATTTCTGTGTGTCTCTTCTCAGTGTACCATCTCTCTCGCTCGCTCTCTGTCGCTACTTTACATGCCTAATTGCCTCGACTGGCGGCTGCTGGTTTTAAATGTAATTAAATTGCACTGATTAAGCGCCAATCCAATGCAATGATGCAAAAGAAAGTCCAAGAAAAAGTCCAATTAGTTCTCAGAGAGAGAAAGAGACAGGGACTGGGAAAGAAAAAGAGACAGAGACAGAGACAGAAACCAGGAGGAGCAGCCCAAAGCTGGAGACACAACTTTGGTTGCAGTTGACAAAAATGTTGCACACATTTGGCAATGGGCACGGCCTCCGACCATTCACTTTATCCCATCTCCATCTCGCTCTCTCTCTCTCTCTACCTCTCTCTCTTTATCTCTCTCTCTCTCTCTCTCCGTCTGTCTTTCTCTTGGGTCAAGTGAAGCAAGTGGTGTGCCAGATTTTGTGAGCTTGTCAGGCTTTCGCTGGCTGTCTCTGTCTCTGAGTCTCCGACTCCGACTCCAACGCTACCGCAGCCCCTCTGCCCCATTCGGTGGCATTCGGTTAGCAAACTGCCACTTGTTCCAGTTTCCCATGCACCTTAACCCATCGAAGTCGAGGCGCCCCATACCGGGATTGGCCCGGGCTTCTTTCCTGCTTTGTTTTTTTTGTGTTAGTTTTTTGTTTTGTGGCCTTTTTAACGAGGCAGAAAGAACAATAAGAACATTTCCTCCTTCCAGAGCAAAGCGATCTTTATGAGCTCCCTCGTATGACAAACTCCATGGTCTCCCCTCGGGGCTGGCCACGGCCATACTCCCCACCGCCCCACCATCCCACCATCCCACCAGCCCGTTGGCGTGCTCGTTTGAAAGAGAGCTCAGGGGGAAAAAGTATGCCACGTACGAGTGCTGGTAAGAGTATGTATATCCAGTATATGCATCCAGCAGATAATGCACAGACAGACAGAAGATGCCTCCAGTTGCAGATGGAGATGGAGATGCTGCAGATGCTGGAGAGCCAGAGGCAAACTGTCAGGCGAGAGATCGAGATCTCAGTTTCATGCAAACAAAGTTGCAGTAAAAAGTGATCCAAAGATCAGTAGTTTGGTTAGTTTTCTTTGGTGCCGGGGGAGGGGGGGATAAGTAAAGATTATCTCTGGCTCTCTGTGGGAAACCATTAAACTCTCTCATTATATAAGAGAGAGAAAAGCAAAAAACACATTGTCACTCTCCCATTAACCGCACTCACTTTCTGCAGAGCCATCTATCCATCTATCCATCCATCCTCTGCTAAACCCAAATGCGGAAAAATACTTTCCCTTGCGACACCTTCTACCGAAAAAAGAGAAGAAAAAAATTAACTCCATTTCATTTCGCATGACCCACAAAAGAGTCCGTCAAAAAGCCTCAAACTGTGTTAATTTGCGGCCAAGAAGAAACAGAAATGGCCAGAATGAATGGCCATTTGAAACTAAATTGCGCCAAATGCCAAATTGCATGCAAATTATGTGGAACACCACCACAGCAGTGGCAGTGGCAGTGGCCAGTGGCCAGTGGGCAGTGGCACCACCACAGCTGGTGGGGCAGCACTTTAACTTTTCGGCCAGGCACTTCCGCAAACAATAAGAAAACTCATAATGGCAGGAAAACGCGCCAGGTAGCATTTTCATTTCATGCAAATTGCCTCAATTAATTACAACAAAAAACCAAAACAAAAACAAAACCAAGAATCCTCTACAGATTTGTGTGGCTCATATTTAGTGGAGATACGACTCTTGCGCGATATTGTCGCGGCTACAATTGGCGGGACTAATGAAAGTTGGCGGCATAAATAGACTTATTAAAGCCGCAGGAATGCCGCAGCATGCACTGCTGTGCGCAGACACAGATACAAGTGTCTGTATCTGCATCTGCCTTTGTATCTGTGCGTGCCAGCCATTCAGCGAGGCCTGGCAGTTGACACAGATTTGCAATTCCGGCCACCGGCAGCGACAAATCGAGCCACATGGAAGCTTCAATATAATTTATGCTGATTTTGATGGGAATTATGGTTTATGATGCTGGCTGCTCCTCCAGCAGATCTCCAGCAGAGCTCCCCGCCAGAGGCCCCGGCAATTTTCACACGCGGTGGCAGCCAGAGCAGTGCTCCTACAGAGCAGAGCGACTAGAAGAGTAATCGAAGTGGGTTAGGTTTTTGTTGCAGATGGCAGTCGTGCAGCAATTCGCATGCAACCTGTCACAGCAGCAACAGCAGCAACATGCACCCTCTGGGGGCAGCCTCAGAGTAGGGGGAGTGGCACATCGATCATCGTTTTTGGTCAAAGCAGAGAGGATGGTCCCATGGTCTCCTGCTTCTGCTGTTCCTTCTTCTGTTATATAAAAGTGAAAGATGAAGTCAAACATTTGGGTCCATCTATGGCCATAGAGAAAGAGATAGAGAGAGATGGCCCCTCTCTTCCTGGTCTTTGCTCTGCGTGGTTGTGGATGTGGATGTGGATGCCATATTGGTGTCAAACTCTAGCGAGACACGTTTGAGCTACTCGCATTTGGAATGGCAAAAGTTGGAGTCGCCGCAGCAACAGCGCAGCCGCAGCCAGAGTCGGAGTCAGAGCAGGAGACGGAGAGGGGAGAGGGAGAGGGAGAGCGAGAAGGAGTCAAAGTCAGTGTCAGTGTCAGTGGCGGTGCATTCGTTAAGTATACGCCACGTTTGCCGTATGCCTTTTATGTGCTTTAGCTTCAGCTTCAGCTTCGGCTTCGGCTTTAACTCTTAACCGGTTCCCCAATGGCCAATGCCAAATGCCAAAATGCCGGCTAAAAGCCAGGCCAGTAAAAGCCTTTGGTGAAATGCCGACAAAACGTTTGACTTCGGCTTGGATTTGGAGCCCGAAATGGAAAAGATTCCCCAAATGAAATTCCCTCGGCAGATGAGGATTTTCTCGAGGGTTGATCGAAAGGGCAAAAAAAACACACACAGAGTTATGATCTCCCTCTCCCATTCCTGGCCAAAACTCTAGCCAAACTCCGGCCAATCTCTGTGTGAATCGTTGGGGGGAAATGGCAGACCAGACACTGCCCTAAGGGCAACTGCAGGTGGCTGCTGCCCGCTGCCCGCTTCAGTGGCTCTCTTTGGCTTCTCTGTGGCCATGGTTGAATGGTAAATGGCATGTCGCCAGGTTGCAAGTTGCACAGTTGCCTGCCACACCAAAAACGAAACAAGTGAAAACAAGTTGAGGCAGCGGCTGTGGCTCTGGCTCTGGCTTTGGCTCTGGCTGTGGCTTTGGCTTAGGCTGTAGCTAGTCCGGAAAGTGGGTCAGAGTCAGAGAGCTCTGAGATTCCAGTGGGGGACACTGGCAGACACGCAGGTGGCAGGTGGCAGGCAGGCAGGCAAGCAGGCAGGCAAGCAGGCAGGCGAGTGGAATGCTGATGAGGAACGGTAATGGGAATGGGCGACGTCACCATCGTTCGCTCCCTCGTTCGTTCGTACGTTCGTTCCTCTCTTTTGAGAGGAACGCATGCGTTGAGTCGAGGCTGATGCAGTTGCAGTTGACTTTATTGACGGTTATTAGGCCTGTCGAAGGTGGTCTAATGCCTGTGGGCCAGTGCCAGTGCAGTGCCAGTGCCTGCAACATACTCGTATGTGTATGCACATACTCTTAGATGTTGCACTGATTCTGCTGCAACGTTCTTGCTAGTTGCAACTGCTGTTGTTGGGGTGTTGCTGCTCATGATGATGATGATGAGTTTTTAATATGCATTTGGTGCTTGGCCTGCCGGAGTTCGGTTTACGGTTTACGGTTAGCTTAATAACACATCTATAAAGAATAAAGAATAAAGAAATTAGATCTTGAAGCGGAAAATGCAAAAATCTCATGAGAATTTTTCTTCTTCTTCTTCGTTCAGCTGCCCACCCCGGCGCCGTCTGCTACAGCCACGCCCACTGCCAAATGTTCGACACTCGCACCCACTGCGACTTCCTGATCCCCAATCTGTTCGGACGCTGCCAGTGCACGGCTCCCGCCAAGATGGTCGGCGGTCTCTGCCTGGCCCCAGCCGCCGATGAGGAAGCGGAAGAGAAGCCCGTCGAGAAGGTGGAGAAGGTGGAGAAGGTGACATCCACAACAACATCCACAACCACCACCCCAGAGCCCACAACCAGGAGAACCACTACTACCACAACGACAACTCCTGCACCCACCACCACAACGACCACAACTGCTGCTCCAATCTTGCTGGAGGATGAGCTGCCAGCCAGCGTGGAGGAGCAGACCCTGGAGGAAGACGATGGCGAGGCCGCCAAACTGAGGCCAGAGATCTCCGAGCTGGACAATGGCGAAAAGCTGGAGGCCATAGACATGGCCCACGAGGAGACAGAGCTCACCCAACAGCAGGAGCAGCAGGATGCGGAGAAGGAACAGCAAGAAGCAGCTGCTGCTGCGGCAGCATCGCATGGCACAGCTGAAGATGGTGCCACAACTGGAGTCCAGCAGCTGCTGACACCCGCCGATGTGCCCACCGAGAATGGCGTCGGTGTGGAGCAGGAGACGGAAGGCGGCCCCACCGAGGACTATCCCTACAAGATCGATGAGGAGTATACAGAGGAGCACGAAAGCAGGCCCGATCTGGTGGGAGAACAGCCCGAACACCAATACGAGGCATCTGCACCCGCACCCGAGCCCATTAAAGCCGACGAGGATGCTGTGGAGGCCTCGGGGGCTGAAGAGATTGCCTCATCGGCCGTCGACGATACCATGAAATTCGATTACGAAACGCCCGTCGAGGAGGCGGAGATGGAGGCTGACAAAGAGGTGGAGTCGCAACCACAGACAGTAGACCATCATGATGTTGATGAGGTGGTGCCCATTGAGGCCGAGAGCGAGACTGATGCGGAGGCAACCACTCAGCCACAGACGCAGACACAGACCCAGACCCAGACCCAGACCCAGACCCAGACGCTGCTGCAGGATGAAGACGACCAGGAGTCAGACCAGACAGTGGCTGACGAGGAATTGATACCCGTGAATGGAGCTGTAGCTAGCGGAGCAGAAATTGAAAGTGTGACGAAGGTGACAGAAGAAGAGGTACCTGAAGAGGCGGAGGCGGAGGAGGAGGAGGAGGAGGAAGATCAAGCTTCGGGGGATCATGAGATGGAGACGCCAGACGCCACGGCAGTGCCTAATGATGAGGTCCCACCCAAGCAGATGGACGATCAGCAGGAGAAGGAGGAGCCAACAGAAGCGCTGAAGATCGAAGTGCCGGCAAAGGTGGAACCAGAGAGTGAAAGCCAAAACGAAGCGGAAAAGGAACAGCCTGAGGAGGAGCAGGTGGAGGAGGAAGAGGTGGAGAAGCCAGAGACACAAACCGAAGCCTCAGAAATGGAGCCAGCAACAGAAGCTGAACCAGAACCAGAGCAGCAGCAGCAGCAGCAACCAGAGGAGGAGCCAGAGCCAAAGCCAGTGGCAGAGATGGAGCCAGAGACGGAGACGGAGACTGAAATCGATCAACCAGAACAAAGCGCCGACATCAAGCCGACAAGTGGCGAAGATGATTTAAATGAAGCCAATCAATTAAATCAAGATCAAGACCAAAAGCCACAGGCACAGGCACAGCCAGAGATTGCGATCGAGGCTGAGAAGGGGGAGGAGAATGTGGAAGAGAAAGAGCCAGAACCAGAGGCAGACGCAGAGGCAGACCAAGAGGCCGAGCCAGTGGAAGAGATGCAGATCCATCAAGATGCAGATGAAGCCACAACAGAGCCACAAGAAATCAAAGTGAAACCAGTCGAAGAGGAGAAGCAACAGCCAGAGGAAGACACTGAAACGGAGACGGAGGCGGAGACGGTGGCAATCACCGAAGCAGAGCACGAACAATTGACATACCCAACAAATGATGATGAATTGGCGCCAGCCGAGTCCCAGCCAGAGGAAGAGCCAGCGCAAGAGCAGGAGCAGCAGACCACAGAGGCGGCACCCCGTGAACCAGAAATTTCTAATGTCCAAGAGGAGATCGCCACAGAGCTGCCTGAACAGCAGCAGGTGGAGCAAGAAGCAGAGGTGGAGGCAGCGGCAGAGGCAGAGGCAGAGGCAGAGGAGGAGATCGTGGAGGAAAATGCAAATGCAATTAAAACGCCTGAAGTGTCGGAAGAAGTTGCAGAGCCCGAGGCACAGGCAGAGCAGAGCCCAGAAGAGCTGCAAACCGAATCAGTGACAGAGAAGGACGCAGAAGTAAAGCCACAGGCCGTTGCTAATGATGAGGTGTCGCAGGTGGATGTGAATCAAGATGTAGCACAGCTGCCAATTAAGACACCCGAAGATATTGAGCCGGAAGCCAGCGAAGCTCTGACAGAGATCACTCCATCATCGGATCTGGAAACCGAAGTGCAAGACGAAACTGTCACCGAACAAAGTGAAAGTGCAGAGGAGCAGCCGGAAAGCCAGAAAGATGAAACGGAAACCATCAAAAACGAAAATGATAACATCATCCAAGGAGCCGAACCGAATGTCGATCAAGAAACTATTCCAGAGCCCGAGCTCGAGCCAGCGGCACAGTCAGAGCCACAGCATGTTGTCCCCGAAGAAGAGGAAGAGCTGATCAAGCCAGAGATGGACTACACCAGCATCGAGCACCTCCAAGAGCTGCCCAAGCAGGAGGACGAGCCCAAGCCAGTTGTCATTGAAGAGGCGGATTACACCCAAGCGGAGACGGAGACAGAGACAGAGACAGAGCCAGAGACAACTCCCGCACAGGTGGCATCCAACGACGATGATAATGAAGCCACCGCCGAGTCCACTGTGGCCCCTCAGATCAGTGTGGAGCCCAGTGCGATTGTGAGCGAGGAGCAGGACCAGGAACAAGATCTGGAGAAGTTCCATGAGAGCGAAAGCATTGCCGACATCCTCAGCGACCTGATGCTGGAGGGAGACAGCACCGTTCCTCCAGTGCCCTTCGGCCAGCAGCCCGCTCAGACCGTGCCAATGGTAGAGGCCAACGAGGATAACGAGGAGGCCCAAGCGGAAGAGGCTATTCCCGATCTCGTGGCAGAGGCCGATGAAACACACGATCAGGTGCATGTCGAGCAGGTCCAGGCCCCAGATCAGACAGAGGAGCAAGTTCCCGCCATTCCAGATCTCTTTGCGGAGGCAGCAAATGATGAAGAGCAGGAGGAGGATCAGGCCACACCCATTCCTGAACAGGCAGCAGCGGAAGAGGAGCCCCAGCAGGAATCCACCACGGATGCCAAGGTGCAAGCGGATGAAGAGAAGCTGATTACCTTCTATCCAGAGGAACAGCAGGAGACCGAATCGATTCCAGAGGAAGCCACCACCGTTAAGGAACCCCAGACACAGGAGCAGCAGCAGCAGCAGCAGGAGGAAGAGGAGCACACCTTGTCTCCCGAGGAGCTACCCTTCGACCTCAGCGATCACTCTCAGCCCATTCGCATCAACGAGCTCGAGTCGGACAACCTGATTGTAGAGTCCACCACCGTCACCGATGGCATCCATGAGCTGGACAGCAACCACATCGAAGAAGAGCCTGCCTCCCATCCCATCGCCCATGAGGAGGCTACGCCCAATCCCGCCGACATCGTGGAGATCACCACCCAGACGATGCTGGGCCTGGCTAGCCGTGTGACCCTAATGGAGCCCGCTGCCCCCGTGGCTACCACCCTGATGCCCCTGATGCCCTCAGATGAGCCCACACCCGAGCCAGTGGTGCCGGCCTTCTCTTCGTCCCTGCTCAAACCTGGATCGGAGCTGCGCAAGCGCGTGGATCTCGGCCTGGAGGCCATCTCCCTGGGCCTGCCCTGCAGCAGCGATCGTCAGTGCCAGCTCTCGGATCCCCACACGGTGTGCAATGGACGGGGAGTCTGCGACTGTGCCGGTAGCAGCGAGAACGGAGGCCAATGCAGTGCCCAGAGAACAGGATGCAGTCCGGGAACATTCCAGGTAAGCATCCCACCCCACTGAATCCCTAAGAGATCTCGCGAAGCTAACCATTTGATATCCTCTGTAGTGCCGCTCCAGTGGCGTCTGCATCTCCTGGTTCTTTGTGTGCGACGGACGCGCCGACTGCAACGATGACTCCGACGAGGAGTGCACCCACAATGCCCGCCTGAACCAGACCTGTCCCACGGAGTCGTTCCGCTGCCAGCGCAGCGGTCGCTGCATCTCCCGCGCCGCCCTCTGCGACGGACGCAAGCAGTGTCCCCACGGCGAGGATGAGCTGGGATGCGACGGCAGTTTCAAGGGCGGCAACGCCTGTCCCGAGCACACGTTCCGCTGCAAGAGCGGCGAGTGCCTGCCGGAGTACGAGTACTGCAACGCCATTGTGTCCTGCAAGGATGGCAGCGACGAGCCGCCACATCTGTGCGGCTCTCGGTCCGTGCCCAGCCTGTTCATGCGTCTGATCGAGGCGGGTGGCCTTCTGGGTGGTGGACGCCGCGAGGCGGACGCCTATTGTCCGCATCGTTGCAGCAACGGACTGTGCCGCTCTACGGCCATTGTGTGCTCCGGACGCGATGGATGCGGGGATGGCACCGACGAACAGACCTGTGCCGTGTGTCGTAAGTGAACCTCGAGAAATGCCCAAGGATAGCACGGTGTCTAATGCGCTGATCTTCTCCCTTATTTGCAGGTTGTCCTGCCCCAACTGCTGCCAGCCTGCCCGGATATCTGGCCCGGCAGCGCCCCATGCCACTGTGGTAGGGGACATAGGATAGGGATCGGAAACCAATTATCCAACACCGACTGCAACGTTTTGCCACACTATTCTTCGAGCTTTCCAACACTATCTGTCGCACAACCCCCGCATATTCGAGACGATTTTTTGCCTAGCATTTAAGTTGATTTTTTAACAAATTATTTATTTATTTATTATGATTTTAGCTGCGCCCTTGCCACGCCCAATTGCCACCTTGCTATCAAAGGGCTCCCCCCTTTGAGCCAGTGATGTTTGTCAATTGAGCCACTGGACGCATCCCTAAAAGTCCCATATCCCCCCTGCCCCCACACAAACACACACACTCAAACACCCATTTCGACTATTTATTCTACTCATCCCGATCATCGAACTAATTTTTTTTGTACCTTCATGCCCAAAAGGAACCACACTACTCTATCACCCACACACGAACACACGAAAACACACAAACAACAATCTTCATTTAGTTTAGTTTTATGGAATTTTCTAATCTAATTTATTTAAATTATTGGCCCGGCAAACCCAGAAACGGAAACGGAAACAGACACAGAAAAAAGGGAACTAAGCGAAAATCCCCCATTAAATTGATGCATTTTTATCGATTAATTTTTTGTAAATAAGTAAACAATTGTTCGATGTACACGATAAACGATAAACGACAATGACTATGCAGAAACGTTGGGCATACAATCCCGGGCAGCCAACCATCAGATCATATCCCCTATATCTTATTATATGTACTGTATGTATTGTATGTATTTAGGGTACGACCCGATCACCGGGCGGCACTCACACAGATTTTCTCAAAGTCAAGAAGCATCAGAATAAAATAAATACAGTCCAATCCATTGAAGCAGGCGAAAAATGCATCAAAAAAGAAATGACAATAAAAAGAAACAAAATCTATTTAAAAAAAAAACTGTTAGAAAATTTATTGATTGACTTAATTCACGGGGAATGCAATGACTCCTTTACTTATTTCGATGTCCTGGGGAGGAGAGAGTATTCACAGAAAATCTAGCGGAAAATTCCCCAACAAAATGTCGATGACGATTTCGCACTGGCTCTCAAACTAAAACACACAAAAATGTGGCCTGCTTTTGGGCAGCGTCTACAAAATTCGTGTTACCACGTTTGGGAGGGAGTACAGCCCCTGACCACACTCCACAACGTACAATATTCCACACCCGGAATAAACTTCCATCGCCGTCGATGGCCCCAGATATTGCGGAATAATCTAGTAATAGATAGTCTTTGATTTAGTACTGCACTTCGCCAGTTATCTTGGCCAAGTTCTTAATCTGGCCAACATCAGAGCCAGTTTTTACGATCCGTAAAAAAGGGGCCGTGGACGTATAAAAGGGGCCGTGGAAGTCACCGAAGAACAAGTTGTATCTGCAACATGAAGGTATTCATAACTATTCTGGCTCTGGCTGTGGCCTCCGCCTCGGCCTACGAGAGCGTGGTCCACCCCAAGGATCTGCCCAAGGTTTCCAAGATCGAGGGACGCATCACCAACGGCTACGCGGCCGAGGAGGGCAAGGCCCCCTACACCGTTGGCCTGGGCTTTAGCGGCGGCTGGTGGTGCGGTGGCTCCATCATCGCCCACGACTGGGTCCTCACCGCCGAGCATTGCATCGGAAATGCTGACTCCGTGACGGTTTACTTCGGAGCCACCTGGCGCACCAACGCCCAGTACACCCACTGGGTCGGAAATGGCAACTTCATCTCGCACTCGAACGCTGACATCGCTCTGATCCGCATCCCCCATGTGGACTTCTGGCACATGGTCAACAAGGTGGAGCTTCCCAGCTACAACGATCGCTATAACGACTACAACGAGTGGTGGGCCGTGGCCTGCGGCTGGGGCGGCACCTACGACGGCAGCCCACTCCCCGACTGGCTGCAGTGCGCCGATCTCCAGATCATCCACAACTCCGAGTGCGCCAGCTACTACGGCACCGGCACTGTCGGCGACAACATCATCTGCGTCCGTGTGGTCGATGGCAAGGGAACCTGCGGTGGCGACTCCGGCGGCCCCCTGGTCACACACGACGGCAGCAAGCTGGTCGGTGTCACCAACTGGGTGTCCGGTGCAGGCTGCCAGGCCGGTCATCCGGCTGGCTTCCAGCGCGTCACCTACCACCTGGACTGGATCCGCGACCACACTGGAATTTCTTACTAAATTTTAAAAATGTTTGAAATAAATTGAATTGAAAAAGCACATTACTCAGTTGTCTATGTGGAGATCGTTCAATTGGCAGCTAAATGATAAAAAGATCTGACTTCGATCCATACATATGGATTCGATCGCCTATATAATATTTATTCGTATCTACATACGAAAATATATTGTCAGGTCTCCTAAAGGACGGGATAGTCTCGTCAGCCACTGTCTGCATCGTTGTTTATAATGGTAACCAGTATGGGATCGTAGACGCAGCGTTCTAGCTACTACTCAAGTCAAGGATTTTTAAAAAGGGTATCCGTGCTTAAGGTAAACGAACGGATCGTCCTTTGGTTTTGTCTTCAAGGGGGAATTAGTGCAAAGCTTGGTTTCCCATAGAAAATGAACCAACGACTCAGTAAGGGCGATGTTTAAATAAAGCAATGGAAAAGTATATTTTATGGTCAGCCCCAAACTGAGAAAACCTGTAAAGAAACGTACATACTCTTCTAGTAGTACATAGTACAGATGTACACAGTTTATGTCGTCGGAAACGCTTCTTTTTTGTGGTTTTATACCTGCACTCTACAAGTATCGAGCTTAAGAAACAACGATTTGTTACAGAAATTGCTTCACAATTGATTTGTATTTAATAGGCAATGCCAGTGTGGTCGCGGATCCAGTCCAGGTGGTGTGTGACCAGGGGGCCGCCGGAGTCGCCACCGCAGGTTCCCTTGCCATCGACCACACGGACGCAGATGATGTTGTCGCCGACAGAGCCGGTGCCGTAGTAGCTGGCGCACTCGGAGTTGTGGATGATCTGCAAGTCAACGCACTGCAGCCAGTCGGGGAGTGGACTGCCGTCGTAGGGACAGGGGCGGCGGGCACAGCAGCGAGTTTCATGTTGTGGGAAGAACTTGTGCATTTCCGGATCCCTTGGAAAGCATTTATATCAGAATCGGACAACGATTTAGTGGGTCATATATAATCAAAATTTTAAGAAATCACCAGATAAGGAGTGATAGATAGGTAGAAATTTCTCGGCCAGACTGAGTGATCGCGTGAGTACTTTTGCGATTACTAATCATGACTTCCGATGAGTTTATGAATGAGATCAGAACCTCTTAAAATGGGATCTGAAGATGGTCACTTAATGATAAATAACTCTAATATAGTCAAATGTACGAAAATAGAGTTAAGCGGAGAGTCTTGTCCTGATAAACTAGCTTTGCTTATATTTACGACTCCTCTTTCCGCTAATCTCCCTCCATAAATATCGTCAATGACTCAGAATATTCATCAAGTATAAACAAAACAGTTTACAATATGTGCAAGATCCCACGTTCATTATAAAGTGTTCGTATTCAATAGAAATGTCTAGACCTCACGCGATGGGTTTGTTTGTATTGGTGCCTTTCAGTAGCTTAATTTATGTCCGCAGATTGCATATACAGTGGCGCAGAGGGTTTTTCCTGACAAGATAGATAGTTTGTTTTTAATAAATTTGAAAATTGTAATCCAACGTATTTAGAAATATTACGCTCTAGTTTTTTAATGAGGCGGCGCCTCCGCAGAGATCAGTGGTCATTGCCTGAACTACGTTTGAAAAAGTCAGTTACATGTGTGGCTCTAAAACTATCAGCGAGGAACTATTACAGCTGGGCTGGTGGTATCCTTTGTTGTTGTTGTACTATCAACTGCATTGGTAACTTACCATGACGTCACTTTTTTTTATTCAAAATCCACAAAATCTGCTTAACAATTTAACAGCCAATTTAAAGCTGGTTGCTATAAAATCAGCCATGCTGTCTGCTATGGAACTAACAAAACTGATTGCTAGGAAACTAATTGAACTAATACGGAACAAATGTAATTTGATTTGGTTGAATAAAGAAATCTATATAAAGAATTGCAACCAGAAATTAAAATAAATTCGATTTTTAAAAAGAAAACATTCACATAAGTATATAAATAATGTAGCTGTATCGAAAGTCAAATACAGTTTCCATTGCTGCTGCCCCGCAATATTGGGAGCTAAGTTAGCAGCTCACATAACGGACGATCGATAGAATAAGACAGAATAATTTTAATCCAAATATTACATCGGCGTTTGATGGTATTGTAGTCTTCTACATTGCGGAATATTTTTCAAACTAATTTCTAAACGTGTCAATTAATAATAATTCGCGAGTTTCTGTGTTGCTCCGTTTTTGTGTCTTTCGGCTCCGTGCTTTTCTCTTACCGTGCTTTTTTTAACTTTCAAGGAGTATTATAAATTTGAACAGTCATTTAGACCCATCGTTACGGGAACAAGTCTTAGTGAGAAATAGCTCAGCTCCACCAAACATTTTAAAATGCAGGGTCATACACTAAAGCCATAAATTAAATACATATGACTAAATCACACAGCGTATATAGCAACAATCGAACTCTGAGGGTATCAAAAGCTTCGTCACGCAAAAGTTTCCATATCCACGTTTGGTTTTGTGTGTTTGCGCTGTTATCTTTCGCGCTATTCTTTCCTTTCCTTTCCGCTTCGCATTTACATTTGTCACTTTCGCACGACCTTGTCCGTATGCATATATAAATAAAGCGACAGCGTGGGATAATTTTGGTCAAACGCTGGTCGGAAAATGGCTTGCATTCCCACCCACAGTCCGTCTACCCATTAAGGCAGCCAACAAGTGTGTGTTGTGCGTGTAGACGGACAGACACATAGCGAGAGAGACAGAGAGAGAGTGGAGGAGGGAGAATGGAAATGCGTAAATGATAGAGAGACGGAAGGGAAGCGTAAAATACCTACGCTAGTCTCGTTTGCAGCACGTGCCAAACACATTTATTTACGAGCGAACATCTCGGGTCTGCGCAGTCTCAGTGAGTGTCAAACTGCGAGGCAATTGGCAAATAAACATTGCATACTTTCAGGCGACGCGGCGAACTGCAGTATTATCCATGCGCCAGGCAGAAGGAGCAGGACAACGCGGCGCAACCGTCCCGCCACGCATCTCCAATCTAAGCTCACTACATTTCACACTACCAATAGTATAAATATTTGCTGCAATCAATACAGCGATGAGCCCAAGTGAGTGCAAGTTACTGAAAATTGGATGAATCTCGAATCCCATCCCTACTCCCCTGAATCAGTGTCGACAAAATGTACGTGGAAAAGACGGAAAAGTTCTCCAAGTGTGTGTGTGTGTGTATCCGTATCTTTATCTGTATCTGTATCTGTATCTTTTGTGTGCTACCAAATGATTGCAATTTTTACGCTGACGCTGCAACGCTGTGATCCGCCTCAATGGAACTTGACATAGTCTCCCCCCAGGGCCTGTTTTTTTTCTCAGTGTGTGTTTGTGAGTGTGTATATGTGTGTGCCCCAAACTGTCCTCGACCCATACACAGGCACAGAATCGCATTGTACGTACGCGTACTTTGGAGGTCCACCCAATGCACGTCATTCGCCCTTCACCGATTCTCCATTCTGAATATCCATTATATATATTTTGTATGTCCCTCAAAAGCTAACTCAACTGCATACCTCATTCAAATTCAACACCTTATTAATTTTCTAGATGCACAAGCATGCAGTCGTTAAAAGCTATTATACGCGAGAATGATGATAGTTTTTATAATGGGACACTTCTCAAGCATTCGCTAAACGATTGAAGCTGTGGCTATACAATGCTCTCATTCGGAACGGAGAAGTATTCTGTCCACAGTCGTCACAAAGTGACAATTAAATTAGTCAAAGGTGCGAAATAGAGCAACGCTTCCACGCTTCTGCGGAGTGTCATACATAAAAGTGAGATTTCATATGAATTTCTTCGGATACAGTGAAAGTTCTTTAGGCAAATAATTTTCAGTGGGGAAACAGTTCGCTTAGAATACGTACGTATGTATGTATGTATATTGTATTCTAGTTGCCATCTATGTTTTTAGGACTGTACTCTCGGATAATTCTTTTAAACAGATTTCTTTTTTGGAACCTATTATAAGGGTTGTTTATATATAAGTTGTTTGATATGAGTTTGATGTAAGGGAACGAAAGCCTTTGTCACGATATCGTTACTTCCGGTTTTTTCCTCAAATCAAATACAATTCGAAGATAACTAAGACTCATAAATAAATAAATAGAGGGCAGCATTATCGCTGCCCGCAGAACTATGTAGTCCACAAATCCAACCGAAGGTCGCTCCTAAGCGAGATTATTATTATTTTATCAGGGGACACCCTGAAAACTGCTTTGCCCGCCTGTGACTGTGGTCCAAGCTATAAATCAACGAGCGGCAAGGGCCGCGGCTCTACTTTATACCCGGTACTCACCTTTCATGATTCATACAAATCGGTCGAACTGTTTGGGTTTCATTCTAATCTCACACCAATAAATGGCTAAAATTCTAGATATGGTCATCCTCTATGATTATGCGTTTTGTCCACGCACTCCACTTTAACCACAAATCTAATATACCCCTATGATACTCGAGTACCAGGCAAAAAAACGTGATGAAAAAGAGGAAGATGTTAGAAAAAAATGTGTATAATTATATTTGTACAGCTGTAAGACTCATCATGTAACAAACCAATATTATATCTCAACAATGATATAACACGATAATGCAAAAATGAAAAACTAATGAGCGCCGAAGCGCTTCGTGATCGATGGCTGCCGAACCCAAAGCACAGCACAATACATGGCAGACACCAGCACTACATCAGCAAAGCACCACAGTGCCCATCCAAGCAACCATCCAACCATCGTTTCCCCATTCCCATGCCGATGGTTTAGGGGGTACGTCACACTCGCGAACGAGTCGCCGTCGGGTTCGGTCCGCTGATGATGTTTCGCTTTCGATGCAGCTTAGCGGACACTGCAATATTCGATTAATTTCATTTTCCCTCATTCGGCCCCAGCCAAGGTTAACAACGGACGATTTTATTTATATTCCCCTCTTGGCTGAAAATTCTTTCTAGGAGACTCGACTTCTCGTGTCAACCAAAAACATAACAAAAACAAGAGCATATGCATGCATACTCGTATGCGTAGATGTGTATGGTTTTCAAGTGTTCCGATTTGTAAATAATAAACATATAAACAAACAAACGTAAATCTCATTAAATTCATTCATGAGTAATTGGAATTTGAATCAGTAGCGTATCTATCTGTAGGCCGATTCCCTATGCTCGATTAAGTGCTCTGCCGCCGGCAGTGTAGTGCATTAATTGCCGAGTCAAGGAACCCGTTTGTCAGCAATTTCAAATTCGTTTTAGTGTCGGATTCCGCAACGGCTGGATAGATAAGGAAAAGCAGCTTTAAAACAAAAATCATTCCGTAGGTAAGACATTCTATAATTTTTACATTACCTTAACTGTCACTGGATATTCGGACACAAACATGTACTTTTTGTAGCCACAATTAAGTATTAAGTATTCGTGTGGGGGCCAACTAAATGCTATGGCTGACAAACGCATACTTCTGGAACGATGCGACAGCGCAGAGACGGAGAAGCTGGTCGTGCATATGGCCAAGGGTTCAAGGGGGATGCTCCACCTGACCCAGTCCCGGTCGCTGCCCTGGAGCTGCCTGCTGCGCAGGAAATCGCTCCTGGGACTTTTAGTGACTTTAATATTCTGCTACTTCCTCATCGGTCGGCCGGAGTGGGTGAATGTCCTGGACCTGGATGCCCTGCATAACGATAACTATTACACGGTCCGTCATTATTCCGAAGTTCCTGGCATGGATGGTGAGTGGCTTATCTGCATGTGTTTTTGTTGCTTCTTTATCTTGTGTTTTGTTTTTTTTTGTTTTCCTATCGTCTTGATTGGTCCCGCCTTTATGTTATATATTTCGTATATCCTGTCCAGTATCCGTTGTCGATCTGGTTGAAGATAATGAAAATATTAATTTTGTGCCGGAAGGCTTCCTCGTGTACAGCAATTCCTGCAAGATCAAAGAGGTCGATCCGTACAAAGCGGAGGTGATGCGCTTCTTCAAGCGCGTCAAGTACGTGCCCTGCAAGAAACTGCCGCCCCTCACTAGCGTGAAATTCAACGAACTCTCCCGGAGCTATGTCCTCAGCGTCAATGCGACAGCCTTCGGTGGATACAAAGTGGGCACTTCGATTAATTGCTGCTACATGGAGGTGATACGGGTCAATGAGACGGAGGTGGCTTATTCCAAGTGCCACCGCTTCATATTCAAGATAGTGCTGCCCAACACGGTGGAGGCAATCATTGTGAAGTGCATTTCGGATGGAGAGCAGATTTATATCAATGGACATGCCACGATACCCATTAAGGAGGCCGTGCAGCAGCGGCTGAAAGACCGGGTGGAGAAGAAGAAGAAACTGCGGCCTCTCAGTGTGCTGATGCTAGGCATCGACAGCATATCTCGGGCTAATCTTATCCGGGCCATGCCCAAGACAGCGCAGTATTTATATGACAACAAATGGTTTGAGCTGGCGGGCTACAACAAGGTAATATCTACTATTTAGCTGTCGTTCCACTCGGTATACAGGACTCCCTCTCATTGTCTCTCCTTCCCGGTAGGTGGACGACAACACTTTTCCAAACATCATGGCCCTTGCCACCGGCTACGATCTTCAGAGTGCGAAAAAGGCTTGCTCTCCGTATGAGGTGGGTGGCCTGGAAAAGTGTACCTTCATCTGGAACCTGTACCAGAAGCACGGCTATGTGACAGCCTACGGGGAGGACGCCACAAAGATCAACACATTCAACTATCTCAAAAAGGGTTTCGTAAAGCCCCCAGTGGACTACTATCTACGTCCATATCTGTCCGCTGCAGAGGACAAGCTGGACCGCACCATAGTCATGGGCCTTCCTCACTGTCTGGGCTATGAGACGGCCGCGGAGCATGTGTATGACTACGCCATGGAGTTCACGCGTCGCTTCCTCAACGACACTTACTTCGGCTTCTTTTGGACCAACACGCACAGCCACAGCGACATCTCGCAGACCAGCAGCATGGATGCGTACATGGTACGCTATCTGGAGCGTCTGGTGCGCCAGGGGACGATGGACAACAGTGTGGTGGTGTTCTTCAGCGATCATGGCGTACGCTTCGGACCCACACGGACCACCTGGTCGGGGCATCTGGAGGAACGACTGCCCGCGATGTTCATATGGCTGCCAACCCATCTAAGGCGGGCACATCCAAAGATTGCTGAAGCTCTGCGCCTAAATCGCAATCGTCTGACTACGCCCTACGATCTGCACATGACTCTGAAGCACATACTCACCCTGTCCGGGCGAACGAATGGTCTGGAGTCGCTAGGCTCAGCCCCTTCCTGCCCACAGTGCCAGAGCGTCCTGTGGCCCGTCCCGGAGCAACGCTCCTGTACGGATGTGGGCATTGAGGATCACTGGTGCACATGCTGGTCGTATTACAAAATATCGACCAACTCCAAGCAGACGCGACACATGGCGCTACGCGTTGTCGCCCACATAAATGCGTTTGTATACGGGTTCCGAAACGGATCGGTTTCGAAGCTCTGTGTGCCGCTCTCCTTGGCCTCCGTCCAGTCGGCGTATCAGGCACACCGGAATGCCCTTGATCCGGAGAATACGCGAACGGTTCGCCTGACCTTTGTCACAACGCCCAGCAATGCCTTGTTCGAGGCCACGGTGCGGCACAATCAGACAGACGACAGCATGACGGTGACTGGGTCCGTTAGTCGCCTCAACGCGTACATTGGCGAGTCGGACTGCATTATGGATTCGGCTGCCAAAAAGTATTGCTTTTGCCGGAAAAAGAAAACAGGATAGGATAGGTAAAGAGGTTAGCCAAGATAGCCCCAAGTGCCGTTAAACAGATTTGAATCTGGTATTACAATAAACCTGTACATAGATGCTTAAGCTAGTCTTAGTTCCCCTTGTACATACATATACATATATGAGAGTCTCCTGTATTATGCTCTAAGAGATCTTTTGCCAAACTTTATTTGTAAGTAGCTATGAATACTCGTATGTTTATGTATTGGTAGGTCTAGTGGCTGTACTCTTGTTACTTTTTGTTAATAGTCGAATTTCCTTTATTAAAGGAGAGTGTCAAATGTATCATACACATCTGTAGTATGTACTAGTGTACATATTCTCATGTGGCCACTGATCTCACACTGTTTATGTCCCATTTTAGCAGCTTTTCCTGGAAAGTGTACTTCGACAGGAGATCCTTAAGCGCCTTGAAGAGCTTTGTGATGGATCCAAGGCGCTGCATTTCATTGTAATGCCCAGGGCACGCTTCCACACACAATTCCAATTTCTTGTAGTCTTCGGTGGCTCGCATAGCAAAGTAGCCCATTAAACTTACCGATTGCTGTGGATTTCCGCTTCTCGTCTTTAGCATCTCCACAGTCTGCTGCTTGTGAATATCGAAGTACTGGCCAGGCTGACCTGGCAGTAGCTTACCGACTCGACCTGTCCAGGTGTCCACGGTGCCCCTGATCAGCCACTTGTAATAGCAGGGCTCATTTGATTCCTCTAGTTCCAGGTCAAGGGAAAAGATCTCCGTCAAGACATTCTTTATGGTATCCACGTAGCAGAGCAGCCAGTAGTAATATATTGTTCGGTTGTGTTCAATGTATTCGCTTAAAACTACAGAGCGCAAGCTCTTGAGGTCATTCTTGCTGGGAAAGATCAAATGCGTGCGCTTTGTTTCAGGGAGGCACGTCGGGACATCCCAACTAACTCTTGACTGATCTTCGACGTTTTCTGTTTCAGTCATTTCTGGATGCTGTTCTGTCGGAACTAGTACTTTTTCTATTTGCTGTTCGGTGGGAATTGCATTACCCTTGGACTTCTTGGCTGCCGTTGGCCGATGCAATGACTTCTCCGCCACCATTTTTTCTGCCAGGCCGAATAGAAGGTAATCATAAAGTTTCTTTGGATCTGCCAGCAGCTCCGGATTTTTAAATGCCTGTGCGGCCATAACCATGCATTGTCTTATGTACAGGAAATCTGTCTGAGATATATTTCTTGCGACATTACGCTGCAACTCAAAGGGATCTTGAACGCAAACTGTGCGATCCATATGAAATTTTTCAGGTGCTTCGCCGACCGCATCCTGAATTGCAGCTAATTGTTCCTCGTACTGGGGATAGCCGCCCGGTGTGGCCAACGTAGCGACCTTGTCTACGGCGCAGCCTAGAAAGGGTGACAACAAGGTCGTCTCGAAGTCTATGCTTGTACAGAATGCAAAGAAGTCGCCGATTAACTCGAGCGTAGACATCTGGGCAGGTAGTGGCGGCACCAACTCAAGGCTGTACGCGTAATTAACTCCGTTTACATTGATGGGTTCGGTACGAGTCTGCAGCTCCTTGATGGACGGCAGCAAGTGGCGCACTTGGAGGTTAACCAGGAGTAAGCTGAGCAGACAGTAGCTATTCATGCCGCCCATTCGAACGACTTTAAGTTTTTTTCCCCAGATTTTCAGGAACAGAGCGAGCTTGTGCAATTTGTCTTCGCGGTTCATCAGCTCTCTGATAAAGCGAGAATTGTATGTGCTGTTCGGATTGGACATATTGATGTCGATGTGGAGGCCTGTCAATTGATGCTTGCAGCGAATAATGGGCACCCGGGCATGTCGAATGTTTGTGACATCAGTAAAGCATATCGAACGGTGCAGAAGCCGCAGTACTTTGTTGAAGAGCCGCTTTGGGCAAGATAACTGATCATTCGTAGACTCCAGATACAAGTCAATGTCGCTGTCTAGACGAAGCCAGAGGATTAATTATTCTAGCAGGCGAAACATCCGCCAAATGTACACCCCCACTCACCATCTAAAGCCAATCCGGTAACCAGCGAGCCAAAGGGAAATACTTTCACTTGTAGAGCCTCTTCCCTTTCAAAGCAGTTGCGCACGTGGCTGAAGGTACGATTCAGGCGTATCGAGTCAGCTTTATAAAGATTCAATATTGTCTCCAGGTACTGGCCGTCACTGGTCTTGTCAAGAGCCTCCTGCAGCTTGCTGCGTTCGCTTTGGGTTTGATCGCTGGCGAACTGCTTGGTTAGGGCGCTGAGTTTTTGCCGAAATTTTTTTTGCGTGTTTTTTGTGTTCTTGTGCTTCTGCAACTCGTGGGCCAAGCAATCCGTCACAGTCTGGAAGGGGGCAGCACACACCGTGCAGAAAACCATGTCGGCGGCACTGGCACCTGGTGCCCGTGTCTCTGCTGGGACCCGATCTGGAGCCAACATTTTTTCTGGGAAGAAATCGAAGCAAATGTGGTTTCGTATAATTCAATAATACTATAATAGTAATAATTTTAAATGCTCCCTTTTTTTTGGACCGTGTTAAAAAGATTTAATCAAACATATCAACAATAGAAAACACTTCCAAGAGCGCCAAATAGAATGAAGCCATTTCAGTGCGCTCCCTCGCTACGTGTTTGGTTTGGTAAAGTTTTTGCAATCTCACTTATTATTTTCTATTTTTCATCCGTTTTTGGTTTGTTGTATTTTGTTTTGTTTTCCTATCGTCTTCAGCAAGATGAACGATTGCTACTATCATGTTTTTTTTTTTTGTTTCGTCAGTATATTTACAGTATATTTTTAAAATAAGACGGTATATTTTTGTATATTTCTATACATTCTATTTTATCAATGAGTCCGCGGTCACACTTCTCCTATTGGTAATAAACAATTTTATCGGCTCAGAAAATCAAAATTGTCCACCATGAGGCTATTAGTTCTTTACGGCAGCCAAACCGGTACTGCCCAGGACGTGGCTGAGCAAATATGGCGGGAATCGCGTCCACTGGGGTTCCATGGCCCCGTTCTATCCTTCGAGGACTACGACATGCAGCAGCTCATCGAAGAGCGGCTGGTTGTGTTCGTGGTGGCCACCACTGGGGACGGTATAGAGCCGGATAACATGAAGCAGGCCTGGCGATTCTTGCTGAAACGAAGTTTACCGGCCCAATCTTTGCAGGGACTACAGTTCGCGTGCCTGGGCCTCGGGGACTCCAGCTATCCAAAGTTCAATTACGCTGCCAAGAAGCTAAGCAAGCGGCTGCTAAACCTGGGAGCCACCTCTGTGTCTCCGCTGGGGTTGTGTGACGATCAGCACGATTATGGCCATTTGGGTGTATCCCTCACCTGGACAAGGGACCTCTGGACGTCACTAAAGTCTATTCTTGGCATAGAAAATAGCAAACAGAACGGGGCTAACAAGACTGTGAGCAAGTGGCTTGTAAAAGAGTTTCCTGACTCTGTGCCCCTGAATGTGAGGCTGGAGAACCTTGCCTGGACGCAGAAACAAAAGTGTCACAGCTTCAAACTGAAAGACAACATGAGGACAACAGCAGAGACTCACTTTCAGGATGTGCGCTTCTTGAGGCTCGAATCCTTGAGTGAATATCTCAGCTGGGAGCCTGGCGATGTACTTGACTTGCAGCCCCAAAATAGCGATGAAGCGGTGAATACATTTTTTGAGCTGCTAAGGGAACACAAACTGAACTTCGATGAGACCACTGCAGTGGAGGTGCTGCCTACTTATCCGGACATGCCATTGCCCAGGGCCTTTGCCGCGCCCATAACCCTTGTCCAGGCAGCCAAATATGTCTGGGACTTGAGCGCCAAGCCGAGACAACGATTCTTCGAAGTGTTGGGCCACAATTGCAGCGATGAGATGGAGAGCGAGAAACTCGCCGAGTTCTGCTCCGCCGAAGCCATTGATGATCTGGTGGCCTATGTGAATCGTCCACGGCGCAATCTAATTGAGGTTTTGCAGGATTTCCGGCATGCGACTTCCACGCTGACGCTATCGCAGCTCTTTGAGATGATGCCACTGATTCAACCGCGCAGTTTCTCAATAGCTTCGGATGCATCCTCTTCCACGCTAGACTTGCTCGTGGCCGTCGTCCAGTACAAGACTATCTTGCACACACCGCGTCTGGGCCTGTGCTCCAACTGGCTGAAACACTTAAGGCCGGGAGTGGAGGTCTATGGCATTGTCAAGAAAGGCACAATGGTGTGGCCCCAGGATCTGGCAATTCCCCTGATTATGGTTGGACCAGGCACCGGAATTGCTCCCTTCCGCAGCATCATTCAGAACCGATTGCATGCCCAGTCGAAAGGATCCCGTATTGGTCCACTTGTTGTATTCTTTGGCTGCCGCAATAAGGCTGCAGATTTCCATTTTCAGGAAGACTTCGAAGCCTGGACTAAAGACAAACTTGTGGAGGTTCATTATGCCTTCTCTCGGGACGAGGATAGGAAGGTCTATGTCCAGCATCAGATTCTGAAAAATAGCCATCATTTGGCGCAACTAATCAAGGAGCAGAATGCATATATCTATGTGGCGGGCAACTCCAATAACATGCCCAAGGCAGTTCGAGAGGCATTTATCGAGATCCTTGACGGCCAGGGCGATTATGTGGATCTGATGCTCAAGCAGCGACGGTATCAGGAAGAAACGTGGGCGTAAGGTCAATTGAAATTGCTTGTACTCGTATGTGTTCCTATTTGTACAATTTTGGACGGAAATTATATTTTATATCTATGAACGAACGTGTAGTACATTCTCAAAAGTCTTCCATCAACTTATCCGAGGATGTGTGACAAAACGGACAGTATCCCTTTTGTAGCACCTGCAGCTCAAAGTCCTCGGCATAGAAGAGCTGCAAATGAATCAATTTTATTTCATCATATATTTACTATAGATAATATAGAAAATTACCAGCAGACACTGTGGGCAATAGGTGACTTGTAGATCGGGCAAAATATTGCGATAGTACACATTTCGTACGTTCTTGCCCTGTCGCTTGAGTATCAGCACATGATTTGGATCTATGGCACGCAGGCCATTTCGATCCAAGCTCAAGGGCAAAGCACTGGCCACATCTTCGTTGAAGGGATCTGTATCCTCCACATGCTTTGCCGGGGCCAGTAGCAAACGCTCGGCCTCGGCATCCGATATATCCACTTCGGGATAGAATTGTACTAGGGGTAGGATTTCTACGGGGCAAAGAGTTAAGTTAGTAAAGACCATGCCTTGCTGTAATGCAGAATCACATACCAAATGAAACAAACGAGAATATGTAGTCCTGCCTGCAGGTCGGGCAGCAATTGCTGTTCAAATGTTGACTGTAGTTAGAGCACTTGTAGCACAGAGGCAGCAGCTCCTCGGGATCATTGAAGCCACTTTTGCATGCCTTGCTGTTTAGGAAATTTAGCTGGAAATTCAAATTTGAGTTTTATTCCTATTCGAAATCGATTTTCTGGGTCTCGCAACTTACATCAATCTGCTCTTGTACTCCGGCCGGTGGTTTGAGTGACTGCAGTCGCTTGTTGATCAGCAAACACAATTTGTTGGCCTGCAGGAACTTCGCCTGCTTGGCCAAGGTAAACAGAACAGAGCTGGAAAAGGGTATAACAGATGAGCCTGTGGCCTCAATCAATGGGGATCAATGCTATGGCTTACAACATGCTCACACCCTTGGGCACGCCCTTGTGCTCCACCTCATTAAGTATGAAGCGGCTGACGTTGAACAGACTGACGGGCGAGTGAGTGGTGAAGGGTTCCTTCATGTAGCTGTAGATCACGGCATAGGCATAGTACACCTTGGCAATGCGCAAATGATTTCTGTATTCGGCCAGATTATGATCGATTGGATTCTGTTCACTGTTTACAAAAAAATATAAATTAACAGTCGTTGTTCGTAGCGCGCCAATAGTAATAATAATAGTAACCTACTCCTTTGCATGGTAAATGTCCAGAGATTGCTTGGCCAGTAGCCAGTAAAAGTAGCTCGCATCTAGATAACGCTCCTCCACGATGGCCGTGATGCTCAACTGCTTCAGCAAGCGATTGGCTTCCTTGGTCCGTCCTGCCTTCAGATATGCTAGAAAAATAAAAGTAAGACATCGAATTCCCGCTTCAATTGGGGAGAAAACTCACCCTGATGTGCCTCTATAAACTGATCCGTTTCGGCCAGCCATTGGCCATGCTGGTAGTGCACCGTGGGCAGCAGCTCGGACAACGATTCCGCCAGACGAAACGCCTCCGGCCAGTCACGAACCTCTACGTGCAACTGCACGACCTGAGCCTCGTCCCCGAGCTTCTTGAATATTTCAGCAGCCAGGGGCAGGGCTTTAAGAGTCTTCAAATTCTGCGCCACCGATTCCAAGGCATCGCGATCGCTGAGGCTGAGGCGCCGTCCGATATCGTAGAGACTAAAGCAAGCAATTCAGTATGCAGGCAAGGATCTATCAACGCCAGGATCTACTCACACATCCGCCCATCCCTGTTCGGCCACAATATCGATGGCCTTTTGATTCTCGCCAGCCGAAAGCAGGAGCTCGGCAGCAGCTCGCGGCTCCTTCACGGAATAGGCCCATTCCGCTCGCTTGCGCACAAGTTCCTTCTTTTCCTGCTCAGTGCCATCTCTAAGATACTCCTGGGCCAGATCGAACATGCGCAAATCGGTGTACATCTCGAGAGCCCGTGGCGTCTGTCCACATTTGAGAAACAAGCGAGCGGCTTCCTTGAATTTCCCAGCAAAGGCACAGTTTTCGCCCAAAAGCACCTCTTTGGGCACTGCCGAACGTTGCTGTTGGTCCCGCAGTTCGCTGATCAGCTTGAGCCACGGCAGATTCCTCACCTTGACATACGCATCGCGGGCTATATTGATATGCAGGGCTTCCAGGGCCGATTGGGCCAGTCCCTCCCAGTCGCCGGTGGTCACTCCCAAGCAGGCCACCTGGTAGGCTTCCCTGGAACGATAGAGATTGCATTCTAGATGGTCATTCATTCCGAAAGATGATCAAACTTACTCAAACAGGCCTGCCTCAATGAATTGCCACATGGTGGAGCCCAATGCCAGGGGAGTGTTGTGCATTATATTTCCGCGCAGACAGAAAGCAGTGGCCCCACACAGACCCACCACCACGCCGTGCATATTCTGCGGGGCTCGAGGCGGCAAATTTCCGACTCTCACACTTAGGCCACCCGTGGTATGAGTGTAGCAGAGCATGGTATCGAGATGGGTGTTCCAGGTGACGCTGTTCACACCAGTGTCCTGATAGAGTATGGTGTCGTTGACAATATCCCGCACCACCAGACGGCCAACATCATCCACCACAGCGATTTTGCTACGTTTGGCATTGATGTCCAAGCAACGGACCGCTGAGACGGCTGTCGTGATCAGCAGGGGCAGCGAGTTGTTGAGAAAGATTCGAAATACTTGACCATTCTTCAAGCCCACCATCAGGCCTTCACGGCCTACTGGGCCGCCAGTCACCTTGATATATCGTATGAAGGAATCCATTATCCATTCTCGTTGCAGGATGCCAATGAAGTCCAGACACTGCAGGCGCTTCTCCTGGCACAGGACAATGTGGCGACCGCAGACCACCAGCAGGCTGCAGTCAAACTTCTGTTGAATCTTCTCCCTGACTTTGTAGTGCATTGGTTGATCCTCACCAGAGCTCAGCTCGTACAGAACCACTCGCTCTGGCAGCTGCACTGCCAGCCGATTGCGATAGATGGCTATTTTCTGGACGAGATCCCGGCACTTGATGCGCACCTTTTGGCCAGAGATCAGATGCTGAATGATCACATCGCACATGTTCTCTCGAAAGGCGTATCGTTCTCTGTAGAGGGCGTGCACTGTACTCGAGGCTATGTTGAAGCAGGCCAGCGTTCCGTCCTGGCAGCCAATGGTGTAGGACTGCCCGTTCGGATGCAGCGCCACGGACCATATCCACGTGTCGAAACTGTCGCCCAAAGTTCCCAATCGTATCCCCTCGCGTGTGAAGAAATGAAGGCCGCCCGTGCAACCGCCGACCAAACAGAACTCTCCGTTTGGAAAGTATTGTAGACAAAGGGGATCAAAGCCCAGGGTTCTCTCCTTGCCTATCATTTGACCGCTGAGCGTATGGAATGAGAGTGTTTGGCTCCAGTCTACCACGGCAATAGTGTCCACACTACCTGGCCCGGCCGCTGGGCAACATTGTACACTGAAAACGTTGCTGTTCGGCCCACCCGGCCGATCGATGCGGCCCTTCTCCTCGCCCAGCTTGTTTCGTATGGAGATTGTGCCATTGGCTAAGCCCATGATGAGGTACTGGCCATCGTTTGTCCAAGAGCAGCCATTTACACGAGCTGATATTTTGTACTTTTGCACAGCCTTTTGATCCGCCGACCAGAACGCAAAATCGGACATCGAACAGGAGGCCAAATGGTGCGAGACGGGATTGAAGCTCATGCATTGAATGGAATCGCCGTGCCTGTATGGAAATCCATATCTTTAGACTATTCCCCCAATTAAATCATTTGCATTTCCACCACTTACGAGTACTTAAGTAGCCCTTCCAGTTGCGGCGACCATACAATGACCATTTTGTCGGAGGCTCCGCTGGCAAAGCGTTTGCCATCGCGTGAATACGCCACACAGTTCACCGTGTCTTTGTGCGCCTTCAGCGTATTCAGAAGTGATCCATCGCTGGGATTATAGATGAGCAAGCGATCGCCGGCGGCAACCACTAATTGGCTGCCATCCGGGGCGTAGCAAACGCTGTGTACGCTGCAAGAAATGGCTTTCTCAGTGCGAGCAACAGGCTGTTATGCTGTAAATACACTACCTGGTCTCGCCATCTTTGGTACTTGGGAACTCTATGCGCTCCAACCATTTGAGGACGCCACGCATTTTTGCACAGCAAAAAATAGTCCTATTTTACTGGAGCTGCATAGTACTAATAAAAAAAAAATAGTTTTCTTGATTTGTTTACAAGCTGCGCTTCCATGACAACAAGAAAAAAATGCACTTTTCAACACTTTCGACTATCGATAAGCGATACTAGTATAAAACCGCTATCGCTGGATTTACAAGTGTTTTTCGTACATTTTAACAACATTTTAGCTATAATTAGCTTCTTTTGCTGTAAAATGAACAGTCTGGACAGTTCCTTGCAGGCGCACAACAAATTAGAGAAGGTAAGAACTGTTGTCATATAATGATGCACCCACTAAAGCGGATTTTTACAGGAAGCAACAAATTTGGCCCTGCTGAAAGACCGAGTGGACAAGTATCATGATCTCTCCACGCAAATGTCCAGCATTCTTACAATCTTTGAGAAGCGCCTGGGAAATCTAGAGCAAACTATATTGCCAGTATATCAGGAAACAGAGCAACTTCAGAAGCGACAGCAAAGTAAGGCCTACGGAAATATCGAAGACACATATACTTAATTGGTCACCGCCTCTTTTCAGACCTAGAGGCTACACTCAACTGCCTGGAGAGCGTGCTGTCCCACTACGATATCTCCCAGGAGGTGTGCCAGCTTATACACCAGGGGCCACTGGAAGGAAATATATCCGTGTTTCTGGAGGCGCTGGCTAAGCTGCGCGCCGCCATGGACTACTTTTTGCACAACAACTCGCAAAGTGTGGAGCTGGAAAATGTCACCAGTCTCTTCAACACCGGCTGCGAGGGCCTGAACCAGCACTACAGCATGCTGCTGAAGAAGCACAGTGCCCCACTAAAGCCAGTGGAGCTGCTGGACCTCATCTACATTGAAGATGACTCATCCAGCGATGAGTACACCTCATTTCGCCAGTTGTCGCAGACCACCCGCGAGGAGTTATTCACGATTTCGCACTGGCTAGAACAAAACATGCGGGAGTACACCCACATCTATGCCACGGAGAGGGGGGATGTGGTGCTGCGCTCACTGCAGCTGCTTAAAGATCATCAGAAGAGCAACAGCTGGGGCCACGAAGCTTTGGTGAGTACCGAAACCGAATGCAACTCTGCGTTATTTGACATTTCGTGCAACGGGACTACTTCGAAAAAGTTTCCGAATGCTATTGCGCGCCGCCATTGCCATTTTATTACCGCGTTCTTGCGTTTCATTGTCCAAGTGTAATTGTCATTAAATTAAATTGTGGAAAAAAAATGGAGGAATGCCGCACACCGACGCACAAAACCAAATTCAACTTTAATCTCACTCCCACGATGAGGTGGAACCACCTGAATGTGAACACATCGAATGTGCGTTGTTCCACTCCGATCTCTGGCGCTTTCCGATCGCCCAACATGTCGCCCATCCAGAGTATGAATACCATGCAGCTTTCCACAAAGACCATGCTGGGGAAGCCCTTCAACAAGCCTCCGATCAAGAAACATTTGCATCATATGCACCGAACGGAGGTCCCAGCTCCAGTCATCCTTCTATCCAAGAAGCAGGAAGATGGCGCCGAGCGGGAGCGTAAGAGCAACAGCAGTTCGGATACCCTCTCCGACGACTCGAATATTGAGACCTCATTGTGCCGCGAATCGCGTCGTCGCTCCATGATAGCCTCCAATCACTCGTACGTGTTCAATCATGGGGCCAATGTGAAACAAGTTCTCGTGCATGTTGGTCTAGAGAAATATGTGGATAACTTCGAGAGGGCTCACATTGATCTGGTCGATTTTGCCTCCATGGAGAGGGACGATTTAAAAAACATTGGCCTGTCCGCCGATGAGGATTGCACTCGCATTCTAGACGTTATAAAAGCCCTCTAAGGGATCGCTGGCGGATCTCAAATTTTAGCTTAAGATTTTTAAATGTGTTTTATGTACTCCCAAAAGAAATAAAAAAATGTATCTGTATTTAAACAATAAGAGAATGAACATTAATTTGTGCGTTTCCTTTGTCCAATAAACAAGTTGATTTTCAAACTTATTCCAGAGACCTCGCCATAGCGGGCGCCAAGCGGAGCCCAAGAAGAACACCTCAGCGCGACTACAGCAAATGTAATACGTGATACCCATCCCATTCATTCCATCATTCCAAGAGTTTATCTAATTTCACAATACCCTGCAGTTTCGAGAGGAAGGCCAATAAGCTGTATCTGCGGGCAACACAAACCATTGAGCAATCGACTGGATTCTCCATTAAGAAGGCTTCCTCCCATTCAGATCACTTGACCTCCGAGGACCTGCTCGATGGGGACCAGGAGCTGGACAAGTACCTGGTCATGCTGCTGGGCCTGCAGCGGCTGCTCAACTGGGAGCGAGCCATTATGCACGACATTATACCGCAGTCGAAGCACAACGAGGTCTTTGCTAGGCTCGCCTACAATGCCATCGAACTGGTGGTCAAGGATGCAGAGGCCATTACCCAGCGCATAATGCGCTGCATCTCCCGTAAGGAGTGGACCTCGGCACTGGGAATATTCTCAGCCCTAAAGCGCGTCATCCTACTGCAGCCGGACATTGAGCGCACTTACGATCCCGCGCAGCGTGAACAGCTCACTAAGGTGCTCAATAAACTACAGCATACGGGGGCCAAGGCCTTGGAGCATTTCCTGGACGTGGTCAAGGGCGAGTCGAGCACAAACATCGTGGGCCAGAGCAATGTGCCAAAAGATGCCACCGTTCACGAGCTGACCTCCAACACCATCTGGTTTATCGAGCATTTGTATGAGCACTTCGATGTGATTGGCTCCATACTGGCCCAAGATGTTCTATACTCCACGCAGCTGGACACCATACTGATGAAGAAAGCCCTGCCTGGCGAGGAGCGCAATAAGGCTCTGCTGGCCATTTACATAAGTGAGTGGAAAAGGAAATATATATTCTATTCTCTATTTTCTGTTTTTGCAGAGAAAGCTCTGGCGGAACTGAATCTTTCGATTATGAACAAGTGCGAGCAGTACAACGATCAGGCCACCAAGCATCTCTTTCGCCTCAACAACATCCACTATATCCTGAAGTCCCTGCAGCGCTCGAACCTCATCGATTTGGTCACTCTGGCGGAGCCGGATTGCGAGCATAGCTATCTGGAAATGATACGCGAACTGAAGGCCAGCTATCAGAAGACCTGGTCCAAGATGCTGCAGGGTATCTACTCCCTGGACGAGCTGCCCAAGCCAGTGGCCGGCAAAGTCAAGGACAAGGATCGCAGTGTGCTCAAGGAGAGATTTTCTGTATGTATATATATCCTGCTGCTGCTGCTGCTCTATAAACTTTTGAATCTCTTGTCAGAACTTTAACAAAGACTTTGAGGAGGCCTGCAAGATTCAGCGGGGCATCTCCATACCCGATGTGATACTGCGCGAGGGCATCAAGCGTGACAATGTGGAGCACATACTGCCGAAATACAATCGCTTCTTCGAGATGTAAGTCACGGATCGATCCATATAGTAAGGACTTATCTCATGTTTTGCTCTTGACTTTCTCGTCAGGTATGCCGCCGTGCAATTCAGCAAGAATCCCGACAAATACGTAAAGTACAGGCCGCACGAGATCAATGCCATGCTGAGCAAGCTCTTCGATGACTCCGCCTAAACGTGGTGTGGCCAGGATTCCAGTGCATTCCGTTCGCCCGTAAGCTCGTAAGTTCGTTCGGGGGTTTAATTCAAAACTCAATAAATATCGCTTTAAAAAAAAATACAATACAAGACTATAGCCTACAAATATTAAATGCCAAGTGAAAAGAAGGCGCCACGATGCTCCCCTTAATAGAGGAAGTTAGTGGAGGGCGCCTCGGGGCGTCCACAGGCGCCATAGTGATGCACATCCACCGTGCTATTGGTGCGACAATTCTCAATGTCCAGGAAGCAGTCGTTCAGATATGTCTTGTTGTCGCTGCCGCAGACGGGCTCGAATTCCCTGGGACAAATGCGGGCACATCCCTTGAACTGGAAGGCAGCCAGGCAGCGCTTGAGGGGTACCACAAACACATGCTTGCCGCAGTTCTCCTTCCGCATGTGACACTCTGACTTGTAGAACTTGTTGTCCGATCCGCACACGAAATTCGGGGGCTGGGCATCGCAGTCCGAGTCACAGTCGGCGGTCAGGGCGCAGTTCTTCAAGGAAACGGCCACCACGCGGAGGTTGCAGGTGCGCCGCTTGAACTCGCACATCGAGGCAAAGGTGTTGCCATCGGAGCCGCACACCGGCTGCTGTTCGAGGTCCGCGCGGGTGCAGGCGTCTCCGCAATCCTTGCTAGGCGTGTTCAGATCCGTGCAGGGACCAATGTGGGCCAGGTTAACGCCGCGTCTGCAAGAAGTCGTTGGGATTATGGAACTGAGGGGAATACTGGCTGAAGGTATGGAATGCACTCACAGGCAGGTGGCATGGGCCAGCTCGCATTCGTTGTTGTAGGTCTTGGCGTCTGTCCCGCATAGCTTGTCGTTCCGCCTCGAGCTGAAGATGGAGCCAAACAGATTGTTGAAGTCCTTGCAGGGCGGCAGCTGCTTGCAGCGAATCAGCCGGTTCTTGCACTTGTCCATGCTCATCTTCTGAATGGACTTGCGCTGTGGTCTGACACAAGAGAAGAGAACGAATTTCTCCATTAGAATGGGAAAGCTTTAAAGGATTAGTGCAAGAGTTACCCGCAGTTGAGCATCTTGAGCTCGCACAGGGACGAGTAGATGTTGCCATCGCTGCCACACACATACTGGGAGGGGGAATCTGCCTCGGCCTTGGGACACTCGGTGGGACAGGCGTCCGCAGCACTGCCGTGCCGCTCCTGGGGCATGCAGAACGAGAGGGGCACCTCGAACACGTGCTTCCCGCAGTTGGAGGAGCGCATCTTGCAGGGGCTGGCATAGAGGCGTCCGTCGGAGCCGCAAGTGGGCCTGGCCACGCGCCAGCAGGACTCGCGGCACATCCTCGTCGACTGGCAGTGCTTGCGACTAGTCTTCACCACGCCCTGACCGCACGTATGCAGCTTCATCTCGCAGGTGGAGTTGTACACGTTGCCGTCGGAAGCACAGATGGGTCCGTCCTTGGGGGCGCTGTTGCAGTCCACGGGACAGGATTCCCGGATGGCGCTCGTGTTGCTGCAAGGACCCACATGCGAGAGCTTCACGGCAGCCAGGCCCACACGGCAGGACTGCACCCGCAGCATGCAGCGATTGAGATAGGTGCGCCCGTCGGTTCCACATACAGGATCCTTCTCCGTGCTGCAGCGGTGCTTGCACTCGGAGCCCTTGGACCGCTCACAGCCATCCCGCACGTCCTTCACCAGCGACACACCATTGCGGGCGCACGTCTTCTTCCGCAGCTCGCAGAGATTCGCGTAGATCAGGCCATCGCTGCCGCACACCGGCTCGGCTCCAACCGTCAGACTGGGCGGACACGATCTCGGACAGCTGTTGGACGAGCTACTGGCCCGGTTCTGCCTGCCCATCTGCGCCTGCTGCTGCTGTTCGGTCTCCTCGCGCAGCAGACTCTCGAGGGCGGCCGCTGCTGCTCCTGGGGCCTGCATCAGGGTGGACGACAGTTCCGGCTGGGCATCCTGGCGGTAGTTGATTAGCAGCGAATCTGGCGAGGCATCGGCACTGCGGTATCGTATGACAGGCGCCTGGGCAGGCAGCTTGATGATCTTAATGGGGGAGTCCGTGACGGCGCCTAGGGGGAAATATGAGAGAGATTTATTAAGCATTTCAAGCATCTAAAGGGTATCCCAACATCGATCAACTTTCCCTTGCTCCCCTACGAGTAGTCGCTGGCTTTGGAAGATGCGTGCGGAAGAGGCATTGCGCGGCATACAAATTTGAGATTAGTTCCAGCCTGAAGAACATTTTGCGCAGTTTGTGACCCACTGTCTAGCTGAGCTCTTACTCTTCCTCCGCTGCCGCTGCCGCTGTCGCTCCCCCTGCCTCTGCCTCTGTCATCACTCTACAGCTCACTGATCGCATGACCGACTCATGTAACCCCCCATTAACCGGAATAATTTGGGAGTTTATGGAGTTGCTCTATAGCCATTGCCGTTGTGGAGCGGGGGTTCTTCTTCGCTAACGGCAAACGACAAACGAAAAATGGGAAATGGCAAATGTTAGCCGTCTTTCGAGTCGATTCCAAGTACAATATGGAAGTACAATGGAAATTTAGACGGGATTGTGTGGGCTGGGGGATAGGAGGCTGGGGTAGGAGGAAAGGAAATACCCCGTACTATCAGCGACCTCCATCTATAATTGTGTTCATGCTAATCCCAGCCAGAAATCGTAAGCTTAATCTGTGCTAAAAACTGCAAGTGAAATTTTCACACTAATTGCCTCCGGCCCCCGGTTCGACTATGAGATCGGACTTGGACTCGGACCGCACCGAATGTTTCTGTTGTCTTTGGTCGGATGTGGCTTCGTTGGTTTTGTTTGCAAAGAAAGCGACGGCAACGACGATGCCGCCTCCAGTTTTGGTACAGAGGAAGCACTCACAGATACGATGCCCACACACATACACACTGGGGGCAGGCACACCGGAGACGGGGACGGGGACGGAGACGAAGACGAAGACACTCTGCCACACAGAGTAGAAAATCTATTAGCGCTCTTTGGGGCTGCCACGATTGTTTGGCTGCGATAATTGAACCCACGTTCATTATTCCAATTTGTTTGAGATGAGAATTTCAACATTTCAGCATTCAAAGAAACGCAGCACAACAGCATTCCCCGCTTAATGGATGGATGGACGAGTGGACGAGTGGACGGACGGCCAGAGTAGCCTCCGAAGCCATTAAAGCTGGAGAAAATTAAGCGGCGTTAAGGAATTAATGCAGATGTAAACGATCTACGGAGCAGACATTCGTTCATTCCGCATTAAAACTATGCGACCCCCAATCCCATGCTATACTACATTCCCTACCCATTCCATACCCATTTCAATCTCATTCCCATTCTCCTGCTGCTGCAGCTCCTCGTCCTCCGCACTATCGGATGCCATCAATTGCAAAAAAAAAAAGACCGAAGCACACACCGTATAATTTTCAAAAGTGGAAAAAGCCACCAACCAACGCATTGCATTGCACTGCCCTGGGCCGAGGCTTGTGCTGCTGCTGCTGCTGCTGCTGTTGGTGGCATGGACATGGACTCTGGCGAGAGACATGATATGTGAGCTCTGCTGCTGCTTCTGCTGCTGCCCCACATCATGGACACAGTGGCACAGTGGAAAGCTGTGTGCAGACCAAACTCTGATCAATGGAAGAACCATACCCATGCCATCCCCATGAATCACTCTTCAAGTGATTTCGCAATTGATCAGGCACCATCCCAGCCAGCTGCTTCATTCATTCAAATCACATTCTCCGGCTAATTGATCTTTCACCCATCAATTCTGATGAAATACTGATATCAATTATCGAAGAAACGATCATGTCGAGCCTCAGGCAAATCACTTGGGCTCCGCTCTGCGGTCCACTGCGGTTCGAGGGGTCGAGTCGATTCTAAATGAACCCTCTTTACAAGGGCTCTCTGCAGAGGAGGCAATTTTCCGCTTTTTTCCACTGTTCGTGCGGCCAGCATTTCATTTCCCCCTGATTTGCCTCCCTACTCCTCCTCCTCTGTGTGCCGGAGCATGCCTTTAATGAATTTATTTGAATGTTGGACAAATTGTGCACGAAAATATTTACGAGCATGTTGTGCGTGGTCTATACGGAGGGGCGAAGAGCGGCCACAGAGGGAAGTGCTTGGGTGTTTTGGGTTGCGTTGCCTCTGCGATGTGTGCCAGTTTACATTCACTTTGAGGCACTTTCCGCACTCCGTACCTTAGAAATTAATAGCTGCTCTGACGACGCTACGACGGCCTTTCTACCAGACATCTAACACAGCACAGCACAGCACAGCTGTGGGTCTATCTAGATCCGGGGACTGTTTCGAGGCTCTTTTGGGGGGAAACCACTTTTCCTGCAGTGTAGCGTATGACTTACCATTAGTGGTGGATGCCGCCAACATTAACATGGCCAGCAGTGCGCCAAACAGCTGGCGCTTAAGCCTTAACTGGGGATAGAGCTGGCTCTGGCTATGGGCCTGGCTCTGGCTTTGGGCCTGGGGCCTTGTCTGTCTCTGGGGCTGGTACATTTTCACTGTCGACTGCACTTTCCTGCTGCTGCTGCTGCTGTCTGGCTCTGGCTCTGGCTTTGGCTGCTGGCTCTGCTGCTACTGATCCAACGACGTGTGCGTGACTACGGCGCTTTCGCTCGTTAACAATTGAAATAGTAGCAACTGTTGTTGTAGTGGCTGCTGTTTGAGACACTCTCAAGTTCACTACCAGCTATGCGACGGCGGCAGCGGATCACGACACGACACGACTTTGACTCGCGTTGAAATGAAGAAAGTTTTCCTCGTCAGAGGTCTCCACCTCCTATGATGTCTATGCTGCACAAACCACACGCCACAAGACGCCTCTTAAACTGGTGCAAGATTACCGCAGAATCTGCTACTGCTACTGCTACTGCGGGAGGGCGCTGATGCTGATGCTTATGCTGATGCTGCTGCTGATGCTGTTGCTGCTACTGCTACTGATGATGTTGCTTTGTCGCTCGATGACTCTCTTTCAACGATCGAATTAACGGTAGTCTTCTTGTGTCTCTCTCTTGTGGTCACCACAGCTGTGCTCTGGGGTCTGGGGTCTGGCCCTTTTATGAGTTCATTCGTTGCCTATTTACTTCCCCCTTTGATTCCCCTCCCTCCTCTAGCTTCTGGCTATTAGATGAGGAGTGCTGCTGCTCCTCCTCTTGCGCTAAGCTAAGCACTTGACCTCTCTCTCTCTCTTTCGTCATACAATCGCACAATGGAGCATAATTTCTTTTTTATCGCCTGTGCCTGGCCTTTTCTCTTACTTTTTGCACGGTTTGGCCTTTAATTTGATTTCAATTACGCTTTGAGAATGCTTTTAAACACCGTTCCGTCCGTTCGTTCGTTGGTTCGTTCTGGATCGTATCGCTTTTTATTATGCACAAAAAAAAAAATTCTTTTCACAGCTTCCTCCCCCTGTATGCGGCTGCTCCTCTATGGCGGGGAGTAGTTCGTTACTCTTTTGCCGTTTGAATTTGATTTTGATGCGCGCTCGCTGAGATTCGCATATGAAGTGATCTCTGCGCTGCGCTGCTGATGCTGCTGCCTCTGCTTCTGCTGCTGCTGCTCTGCTCTTTCTGTGCTGTGCTGTGCTCTTCTCTCCACTGTATGCTAGGTAGGCCTCTGCTGAAGCTTACTGCGACAACGACGCTAGCGATTGCATTATATATTGTTGTAGTTGTAGCTGTAGTTGTTGCTGTTGTTGTCTTCGCGCTGACGTTTTCAATGAATGAATGGAACACACTCTCTGGCAGGGCACTCACACATACACGCGCACATCCGATTTTTTACATTCAAAAAAATTATACGTTCTTATTGTTGCTTCTTTTCTTTTGTTGCACGAATTGGCTTCCAGTGCGTCTCGGTCTCACAGCAGAGTGTAGAGTCGTAGTAGTCCAGGCTCCAGCGAAACGAAGAGAAAGGTTTGACAATGCGCCGACGAATGGCACCGAATTTGCAATGCCAACAAATTTATATGAGTGAAAGGCAGCGCAGTCGACGCTGGCTTACACAGCGCTTACACAGCGCTGGTGCTGGAGCTGGAGCCCATATGCTGGAGGAGCTGAAGCTGAAGCTAAAGCTATCGCCTTGTTCCATGGCATCATGGCATATTGATTAAATGGAGTTGTCGGTATTTAAAATAACAACTTGGCCATGTTGTTGCCTGCCGCTGCTGCCTAATCGGTTTTGCGTACAAATTTAATTTGCCAAAAGTGGCAGCAAATGCAACCAAAAAGGCGAACCGCATTTGAAATTATAACACACACCACACCACACACACTCCATGCGCCATGGTCCGCGCTCCATGCTCCCATGCTCCATGCTGTGCGGTGCAGTGCGGTGCTGTGCTCCTCCTCTCCAATAGACACGATCCACACGATTCCGATGCGGTTGCAGTTGCAGTTGCAGTAGAAAGTGCAGCCACAGTGCCGCCGCCGCAGTGCAGCTCTCGTTGCTAGCTGGAAGCTGTGTTTATAGACTTGTAGACTTTAAAGCCATAAATTTTACGCCTGAGTGGCGTTGCGAATAAGGGTCACACACACAAACACACACACATACAGATCAATGGCGGCGGGAGAGTCGCGTGCATTAAAGAAAATTGAGTGGAGGTGGAGGTGGAGGCGGCTGCACAGCAGCAGCAGCAACAGCAGCAGAAACGGCAACAGCAGCGGTAAAAAAGAGGTCAGTAAGTGAATGGTTTACAGTTAGTTTTTGGGCAGCCAGACAACGGGGACGGCGACCATCAGTGGGGCCTTGGAGCCAAACTGCATATGACAGCCATGACTTGGCTTTTGAGCGCCATCATCGTCCAGAACTAATGCTGGAGACACGAACAGCGGCACACACACACATACACATACACACACACAAGAAAAAGCCGAAAAAATTAATTAAAAGAAAGCCAGGCAGACGTAAAAACCTTTTGGCAGCCGTGCAATTTCTTTTTGGCCAAATATTTGACGTTTGCCTGCGGTCGCTACTGCTGCTGCTGCTGCGGCCTGCGGGGCTGCCAATAAAATGGAAAGTGAAAATTGTAGCTGCACTGGCGGCAGTGCATATTAAAAAGATTGTGTGCGAAGAAATGGCCATAATAAAAGATAGAAGCTGGCATCCCATCCTCCATCCACGCACCTGTTCTGCGGGTTTTCTACGATGCCGCTCTAATCACAGCCTCTGTGGATGGTGGCTGTGACGCCGCATCAAGAAAAAGACAAGATTCGAGTACGAGTACAACGATTATTACTCGTCGTATACGTATTATATAAATGCGGTGCCAGAGCTCCACTTAAATGGGGAGGCGGAGGATCATATCATCCTAGAGGTCCTTCTTCCGGGCACTTTCTTATCGCCTGTTGGATTGTTGCTTGATGGGCCGTGCTCATCCTTAAGCAACATTTTTGTATTTATTGTGTCGTTGTAGGCATGATAGCCGTATAATAAAGGCGAGAGGTTGCTCTTGAGTGACCTTTAATTATCCACAGGCCCGTATTTCTTGCTAGGGCTTACATGTGCTCTTATGGCTGGGTAAGCTTCTAATGTGATCCTAACTTAACGCAAAATGATAATGGGCTTCTCCTACTCTAATATACACATAGGAGGCGTGGGAGCAAAACGTGGTAACACTCTTCAGTTTCAGTTTAATTTCAAGATTAAATCATCTAAATCTTTAAGATTACTCTAAAAGCATAAATAGTGCATTGATTCATATTTAAATGAATTAAGGTTTCTATATATCAAAGTTACAGTCAAAAAATTCTGAAAACTAGGCGCCAGGACGGACCGACAGATAGACATGGCTACATCGACTCGGCCATTGCTGCTGATCAAGAATATATATATACTTTATGGGATCAGAAACGCTTCCTTCGGGGTGTTACACACATCCATTTTAACCACAAATCGAACATACCGCTATACTCGTCGAGAAATAAGAAGGTTAAAATGTAGTTAGTTCGGCTACATGTCAACTACTCAAGCAGCGCCATCTGTTGGTAGGTACATGTACATTTTACAAATTACAAATGAAATTTCTACATAATTTTTACATAACGGACTTAGATAAATTACCTAAAATAAATTACCACCCTATTTTACAGCATATCGTCTGTCTACAGAGACCAAGAACTGGTACTGGGATCAGGATTTATTTACAAACACCTAATCAAATGCATGAATAGACCAAAAAAATGCAATCTAAGACAAGGTATTTACTAATTACGTTTGAAAGCAGGTTGGAAGACAGTATCTTTATATAATATTCACGAATTAGGGTATACAAAAGCCACACTCTGGTTGATAAGAAATGAGTATGCAAATACCAGCAACATTGACGTCACAACCTGCGACTATTGAACATTTTTGTTGAAATCGTGTTTTTGTCAAAACAAAAAACATGCAAGTACTTAAAAGTAGTTAATCCTGATTAAAATTGTTTCAGCAATCATATAAAATTATCTGGGCAAAACTGAGAGATCTATATAGCTGGGAATATTCGACGGCAGAAAGAATAACCAAGAATTAGTCGTCATAGCCGGTTGACAACAATGAGTCCCATTCCATGCACACATACCCTGGGGGAAATGGATGTTATAGAATTGTGAATATGTTTGTCATCCCAGGCAAAAACAATTTATTTTCAATATATTTTAATATTATTCAATATTATGTAATATTATTTTCAATATTTCAACGATATTTTAAAGCTTATTGTCTTCTTTCAGAGACCAAGAATAGGTATCAGGATCAAGATCATATACTCATCACTCATCATACACATGAATATGTCTAAAAAATGTCAATTTGAGAGAAGGTCTTTATAAGTTACGTTTTATCTTCATATCAATATTTATACTATCATATAAAATTAGAACAAAAATAGGGTATACAAAGGCCTATACTACGGCTTACACGCAATATAGCGACTCCTTTTTTGTTGAACTTTTTCGTTTAAACCTTTTTTTTACAATAAGTACAATAAAAGCAAGGATTAAAAACTATCCAATCTTGTAGAAAATGTATTCATCAATGGGATAAAACTATGTGGGCATTGCTGAGAGATTTAGTTAGTCAGCATTATTCAATGGAATATCAAAATTGAGCAATTTCCTTTTTCGTTTGTTTTGATTGAGCTATTTCGCTACTTGTTTTTTGTTTGACTTATTTCGCTAAAACCTTTTTTTACGCAAAATTCAATAATAGCAAGTATTGAGAATACACCAGTTAAATAGAAAATTTATTCATCAATCGTATAAAATGATGATGGCATGGCTAAATATTCTATTTAGCTAGTAATATTCGACAGAATATCAAAAACGAGAAATATGTAAAATAGAACTTGAGCTCGTCAGTATATTAACGGTATATTTTTTAAATGAAATGGTATATTTTGGTATATTTCTGAGGGTCGGACGGTGTACCTTAACGATAAATCCGCGGCCACACCACTCATTGAAAAGAAATTGTGTGTGGGATAAAGATAAAAAAATCGTATATTGCTGAACGGAGCAAATGAAATGTGCAAATGCACACGGCTAGTGCATAAATAATAGTGCGAGAGTTTCGGTTTAGTGCGTGCGTAGTTCTGGCCAGGTTTGAATTCATGTCGTGAACGTCAAGAGTGAAACCTACAACTCCCCAAACCAGCAACAACAACAGCAGCGCAGCACAGAACAGCAGCAGCAGCAGAGAAAAGATGGCGACGAGAGGCACAGCTCGTGTGCAATCACAACCAAAAATTTTTCCTTCACTCTTTTCGAAACTGCACGGTGCCATCTCGGAGGCATGCGTCTCGCAGCGTCTGTCCACGGACAAGAAGACGCTGGAGAAGACGTGGAAACTGATGGACAAGGTGGTCAAGCTGTGCCAGCAGCCCAAAATGAACCTCAAGAACAGTCCACCCTTCATACTGGATATACTGCCGGACACGTATCAGCGACTGCGCCTCATCTACTCCAAGAACGAGGACCAGATGCACCTCCTGCACGCCAACGAGCACTTCAACGTCTTCATCAACAATCTGATGCGCAAATGCAAGCAGGCCATCAAGCTCTTCAAGGAGGGGAAGGAGAAGATGTTCGACGAGAACTCCCATTACCGCCGCAACCTGACCAAACTTAGTTTGGTCTTTTCGCACATGCTGAGCGAGCTCAAGGCGATATTCCCCAACGGGGTCTTTGCCGGCGATCAGTTCCGAATCACCAAGGCCGATGCGGCCGACTTCTGGAAGAGTAATTTTGGTAACAGGTGAGTGCTCGCTTTGTGGCAATGCATCTTTGTGGCATCGTCTCAACATTTACACACATTCTCCCGCCCGCAGCACACTGGTGCCTTGGAAGATCTTTCGACAGGAGCTAAACAAAGTGCATCCGATATCGTCGGGGCTGGAGGCTATGGCCCTGAAGACCACCATTGACCTGACGTGCAACGACTTTATCTCGAATTTTGAATTCGATGTCTTCACGCGTCTGTTTCAGCCGTGGGTCACATTGCTGCGCAACTGGCAAATCCTGGCCGTCACCCATCCGGGCTATGTGGCGTTTCTCACATACGACGAGGTGAAGGCGCGTCTCCAGCGCTACATCCTCAAGGCCGGCAGCTATGTCTTTCGTTTGTCCTGCACACGACTCGGCCAGTGGGCCATCGGCTATGTGACGGCAGAGGGCGAGATTCTGCAAACGATTCCACAGAACAAATCGCTATGCCAGGCGCTGCTCGATGGTCATCGGTGAGTGTGCTTGGATAAGTCTTCAATAGGACGATTATTAATGTGTGTCTACTTGCAGCGAGGGCTTCTACTTGTATCCAGATGGCCAAGCCTACAATCCGGATCTGTCCTGTGCCGTGCAAAGTCCTACCGAGGATCACATAACTGTAACACAAGAACAATACGAACTATACTGTGAAATGGGTGAGTACATGTCTACAGTCCCACCTAGCCGTTTCCTCCTAAAGCTTTTTTGTTTCTTGGCATTCCAGGCAGCACCTTTCAGTTGTGCAAAATCTGTGCGGAAAACGACAAGGATATCCGGATCGAGCCCTGCGGTCATCTGCTGTGCACGCCCTGCCTCACCTCCTGGCAGGTTGACTCTGAGGGACAGGTAAGCTCCGTGTAGAACTCTACTACCCCTGAAGTGAAACATTTTGACCTATTGATATGCTCTTTTTGCACAGGGCTGTCCCTTCTGTCGCGCCGAGATCAAGGGCACCGAACAGATCGTTGTGGATGCCTTCGATCCGCGCAAGCAACACAATCGCAATGTCACCAATGGGCGACAGCAGCAGCAGGACGACGACGATACAGAGGTATAGTTTTGTTCAAAGCCTGATCCGCCTGCTCCGCTGCCGCCTGTGCTGCTATTTATATATACACATTACTCTTATGATTACTTTTGGTTCGTTTATATATACATCTATATCTACCTATATATACATTATATATACAACTAGATCTTACAACTGCTATTGTTTATATAAGTTTAATGTTTAGCCTGCAGTTTGCAGTTTCTTGCAGTTTCCAGTTTTAATTAATTTGTTTGTTTTAGCTGTAACATATTTAAATTATTAGCCAAAACTCATCCGCAACTAATCCACACGGACATAGACACTAGCACACTCAGAACAGACCCCATGCCATCCCATCTGTCCATCCATTCATCCATTCATTCATTCATTCATGTATCCCATTCATTCATCCATCCACCCATTATGTAGTTGAAATTCCTCGTTCGTGTGCGCCGCACCGCGCCAAAGCGGAAGTGGCTCATCAGCCCCATGTTCGTTATCGCGCTCGCTGCTTCACACTTGTTCTTATTCGTTTCGTTTCCTCTCTCTCTTTCGCGCGCCCTTGCTCTATCTCTCTATGCATTCATTCATTTGATGATTCATTTTCTGTTCGCCCTCGATCGGTCTTTTGTACATAGGAATTTATAATTGTAACTCGTTCTGTATTATCTGGTAGAGCTTCCACCTCTCTCTCTCTCTCTCTCTCTCTCGCGCACTCTCTCTCTATCTCTTTATAATCTGTGTATTCTTATCCCCGGCAGTATTCCTTAGACTCATCCTCACGTATACATTTTGCTCCGTTATGTGTTTATTTCATTTTAGTTTATTGTTTAATACTTCCAAAGATATATTTAGTTTTTAGTAGCGTGTGTTTGCTTCCGATCGGTTTCAGTTTGATGTATGTGTAAGCAGCCACCATATCATGCCCGAGGGCTGGCCTAAGACTGTAATTTATTATTAACAAAACGAAGAAAAATAACGAAATAACAAAACGAAACAAGGCTATAACGAAAGGAAGAGAGAGGCCAACAATTGATTAATTTAGTTAGATTATTAAAATGAAACACAACGTTTGCTTCTCTGTGAGTGCACATGTCACAATTTCTGTCTGAAGGCCGGAATGGACAGCGATCGTTTTTAGCTAAAAAACTAAAAGTATTAGCACAGAAATTTTCATTGAGGCAGTCCCTTTGGGCACTGCTCTCAATTAAAGCTCATCCCTTGGCTCATTTCGTTAACATATCCTTGCAGATCTAGGATCAGATCGAGTCTAGGATCACATCAATCGCGTATATTCGATAATGTTTATTTATGTAATACATCTAATGCAATTTTTATACATACATCATAGCCTTTAGTTTATTTTTTTCTGATTTCCTTAATAAGTTTTATGCTAAAACGAAAACAAAAAAACGTATTAAAACAAAAGAAAAATATATACATTTTATGAATATTTAATTATTGGTTGCAATTGAATTATGTTTTCATTTGTTCTTTCTCAACATCTCCTTCTCCTGTCCCCCCACTGTTCACTCTCTTTTGTTGTTGATTCTCCATTCTGTTCCGTTCTGCATGCACAGATCTGCAGCCTACTCCCCAGTCCTCCTGTTAGCGGCATGCCCTAGCCCTCCACGCATCTATCTGCCTAACTAAATCCTCCGCCTCCCCTCTAGGACATGGGCGACTTCAACATAGCCACCTCCTCGCTGCACGCCCTCAGTACCTCGGCAGCCGCTGGGGCCGCCGCGGAGAAGCACAGTCCGCACACCTCGCCGCGTCTTGGACGGCGCAGCACCACGCCCAGCCTGATGGCCGTGCAGAACGATCTCTATTCGGGCGGCAGTCCGGTCCTCAGCCTACCCAGCTCCAGCTCCTCGTCCACATCATCGGCGGCAACGGCAGGAGCAGCAGCAGCATCATCATCAGCATCAACATCAGGCACCGCTGCAGGATCCTCCTCGCAGCCCCAGCCCTCCGCCCCGCCGGCCTCCGCTGTCCTGAGCAATGGAGGAGGGGCCAGCATCAGCCAGAAGTCGACGAACCGCATGAGTGCTCCCCTGATCGGTTCGTGCGTGGCCAACTCCACGTACGGCCAGAAGTTGCCTGGAAAATCGGAGAACTCTGCGTCCAGCGGCAGCGGCAGTGACACCGCCTCGACCAGCTCGTATGCCATCCTCCAGAACCTGCAGGATTCGGCCTCTGGGTCGGGCGCCGCTTCAGCTGTGGTGGCACCTCCACTCCCGCCGCGTAAGTCCTCCCCGGGCGTCGAGACTCCGGGCAAGGTGACTGCCCCGCCGACCACCAGCAAGAGTATCGACAACATTCAGTGCAGCATGGACAACGTGCCGCCCCAGACGACAGCTCCGCCGATTCCGCCGCATGTGACGCCCAGCGTGGACACCCTGGCCGAGGACTTGATGCGGCAGCAGCGCATAGCGACGAGCACCACCTCCCCAGTGTTGTCCCTGCTGGACGAGGACATCGTGGAGGTGGGGCCCGCGGAGACCATCAGCGGCGTAATCGATACCCGCCCCCTAGAGGCCCGTGGCGTGACCCTCACCAGGCAGGACTCGGCCTCCTCGCACTACACACAGCTGTGCACCACCAGCACTGGCGGGTCGGTGGCGCTGGCAGCCGCCGCAACCCTTGCCAACGGCAAAAAGGCCGCTCCCAAGCAGACAGTGACCCAGACAACGACGACAGCGGCGGGGACTGCACCTGCGCCTCCACAGCAGCACCAGCAACAGCAGCATCAGCAACAGCAGCATCAGCAACAACAGCAGAAGCAACAGCAGCAGCAGGCCCAACCGCTGCTCTACGCCAACGTGACGATCAATCAAAAAGACTGCGGCTCCGTTCCCTACGAGAACATCAATTTGGAGTATATAGCGCGCCTGATGAACGCGGGATACTCCAAGGAGAATGCAATCACTGCTCTGGGGATATCGCGCAACAACGTCGAGATGGCTGGCGACATACTGCGCGAGTTTGTCTCCAAGAATAGCGCCTAAAAGTGTCACGATTGAAGGATGGATGGATGGATGGTTGGAATGATGATTAAAATGATAAGGATGATGATAATGCTGCGAGGAAACCAATACCGAATAATGATAATGATAATGATAATGCTGATCCCAGGCAAAAGGCAAACAAATCTAAGTATAAGTCTTAAGAAATATTTGACAAAGCAAATTGCCCATTAATCTCTCAAACAGGGTGCATATTTGCCGCTTTAGGAGCACACACACACCCCTCACACACGCCTATATATGTATGTATGCTGACATACACATATAAATATACATATACATAGGTACGCTAAACTCACGTCCTGGCTTGCCCTGTCCCACTGTGGGGAATGGCCCCGGGCCCCACTTGGCGTAGCCAGCCCACACCACAAGCAATTCAAGTTTCCCCAGTTCCAAAAGTTCCCAAAAACAAAACGAACAAAAATTAAAAACTAAAAAAAAACTAATAAAACGAAACAAAAATGTAAGCACCACAAAAACGCCATGGATATCAAATATAGCTATGTACACGTATGTTAAGACTATCTAACTTCTTCCTATTAAGAGAAAAAACATATACAATACTACATATATATGTATAACAAAAACAGAAGGTATAGAAAGTATATACGTTGCAGTTCTGAAAGGAGATCGAAATAGGAAAAACTTGCCCACCCCCCAAAAACAAATACAAACGAAAAAACAAACAAGATCGAAATGCGAAATATTCTCTTCTCTCTCTCTCTGTCTCTCTCTATCTCTCTCTCCCTCTCTTTCATATAGGATATAGTATAAGAAGCAACAAAATACTATATGTACTCGTATAAAGAAAAAGACAGGTATCGTGATTTAGTTCACCTTCATGCCCATGAGCCCATTCTCGTATAAGTAGAGCCCTCATATCATCTGAAAGAAGGACACTGAACACTAAGCCCTGTTCGGTGAATCAGTGAGCCATGTTGTCAATCCGTAGGCTTGCTTAGGGAGCGTTTAGAACAGAACACCGAACACCGAACACAGCCATTAGAAATCGTAAAATCAAGAATTGGAATCGAATATGCCTTCGGCGGCTGCCGCCACCTTTCCCCTAAATGCCCACTGAACCACTGAACCGAATGCCCTGAGTTTCCCCCCGTGACACCAGCAACAACAAAATATTAATGACGCCAAAGAATGAACAAAGCATACAAGTGACGCCACGCTCCACTCCCGGATCCGATGCACTATCAAGTTTACCTCGATTTTTTATACAATGCTCGAACTTTATTTTTTGTAATTGTAATTGTAATAGTATTGTAATTTGTAAGTTCGAATCGAATCAATTAATTCAATTCCGTACACGAAAAAAGTCAAGTAAATGCAACAGCCAAGAAAACAAAACAAAAAAATCATTCTATTTGTATTACGAAATCCCTTTTTACAGGCTTTATACTATATATATGTATGTATATCGTAATCGATCGATCGGTTTTTAAAATTCAAATCAAATGTTCTAGACCCCCAAACCTCGAGAAATACTCGTATATCTACTAAAACTAAGCCAGATTAGTATACAATATACATATTTTAGCATAGGACACAACCAAAAATCGAATCGAAGCAATGCAATACTCACTAATAGAGAACTCAAATGCAAATAAAAACAAAAAACGAAAAAAAAACAAAAAAAAAAGGTTAACTCGTAAGTAATTTGACCCTCAACTCAACTACAAAAAGAAAAGATATGAAAACAAATCACCATATATAGACCATATAGGCAACCAAAAATATATATAGAAGCGAAAAGATTTTGAACTTTTTGCAGCATAGGAACATAACTTCAAGCAAAAGAGCGGAAGAGCAGGAAGCATAGCTAGAGAGAAGAGCCCACAGCGAGGGGAACCGAAGGGACGAGGAAACGTTTGAAGATGCTACCATACCATAGTCAGGTCATGTCATGTCATGTAACCGAACAAATCTAAGCAGACATAAATTATTCTTATAAATAAAAAAACAAAACAAAAATAAAACCAAAATAGAAACCAATCAAAAAAGATATGTACATCATTTTTTGTGGGAAGGCATTCCGATCCGATTCCCATTCCCATACCCATATACCCATTTCCTGTTACTTTTAATGACCACACCTCTACAGATTTTAGTCGGAATAGTTTTATTAGACTTAATGTTTAGTGTCTGGCAGCGTTCATCTTTCGCTGATCCAGTAGGGGGTGGGGCTGGTTAAGTTTAAAGTTAAGTTCTTTCGGTAGTCATGGAATGGTTCCTTACATATTCTTTCGGTAGCTTCCCTATATCTTAAAGGAGCGAACAAATTGGTGGCAACAAAAAAAAAACAGTGTTTTAGCTTTATTGAAATATGTATGTATTTATTTTGTATTATATTACGTTTGTTGTTGTTGTTGTATTATATTTGACTTATATAGTTTGCGATTTTGCGTTTTTTTCGTATTCAAGCACATATGTATGTATGTATTTTTCTTGTATTTTTGTATCTTTTTTTTGTTGTTTTTGTTACATTTTTTGTGAGTTTTTCGATTTTTTTGTTGTTGTGTTTTTGTATTGTTTGTTGAAATGTTTTATGTTTTTCGTTTTGTTTATAATAAGGATTTAGTTAGTGTGCTGTTCATTTCTTGCATTGCATATAAATGTCGAAACGCTCAGCCGCTGAAAAATCTGGTTTTTTTTTGGGCTTCGATGGCGTTTTGGCATTTCTCTCTTGCTATCTTTCCCCTCCCCACTCCCCACTATTTTTCTGTTGCTGTTACCCCCACCCCGCCCCGTTGGTATATATATATGTATGTATGTGTCCCATAACGCAAGATATACATACATATATATATACATATATACTGTATATATCTACGTATGTATATGTGTTCTGTAGATGTGTTATACAATATTAAAGTTACTATTTTCTTGCTCTTTTCTCTGATTTTGTTGTTGTATCTTCTCTGTGTGTGTGTATGTTTAGTGTTGCTTTTGTTGTTGTTGTTGTTGTTACGCCCGACACTCAAAGAGTATAGGGATATACATATTAGTTTTGTTTCTGTAGTTGTTGTTGCTTGTTGGTTGTTGTATATAAGATGGCTATAATAGGACGTACTGATCCCGAATTTGTTTGTTAGCTTCTTAAAGTGTGTGTCTGTGTCGTGTCTGTTCTTTATACCCGATACTCAAGGAGTATAGGCATATATTATCTTCGTGTGAGTTACATTAGTGTTTTTTCTTCATTTTTCATTTTGTTTTGTTTTGTTTTTTTGTTTAGTAATTGAAATTCATAATTTTCACAATATTTGCTCTTTGTTACTGACGACACGTTCATAAGGTTTTGGTTTCGTTAATATACTATATATTTTTTTAAAATTATTTTTATAATCTTCATTAAATGGTTTTCAACAGATTTGGCGCAGCAAATTTTATTTGCTCTCTTCATCTCGTCACACACAAAACTTGTTCGTAAATTTCTACCTCGTTTATTTTCTTTTTTTTGTGGTTTTTTTTTTAATGTGATTTTTGTTTTGGATACGATACCCAAAGAGTATATATGTATGTGGTGTTGTTGTTGATTTGTTTAAATAAATACCCTATAAGACATATGCAGTATGGTTTTTTGTTTGTTTTTTTTTTTGTTTTGTTTTGTTGTTTTTTAATGTTAATGTTAATAAGTTAATGCAACCTGCAGTAGTCTGGATGCCAACTGAAGATGAATTGAAGACGGCAAGTGAAGTGAAAGAGCTTCAGCAAAAAGGTTCACAAGCGAAAGTACAAAAATAATCAACAAAATTATAATAGTATCATTCTATGTTTATATATATGTAAAATATATAGATATATGTATGTATGTATGTATGTATGTATATATGCTTGTATACAAATTAGACTTTTTGTTTAGCTATCATAAATACTTTCATTTCATTTCATTTTGCTTTGCTTCGCTTCTCTTCATTTCATTTCGTGATTTTCGCGGGGGCTTCCATAGTTTTTGTTTTGTTTTTGTTTTTGACTAAGGTATTTATTGCTTTTACATTTGGGTCTGTTGGTGTTTTCGCTGCTGTTATTTCATAATAAATATAATTGGTTAACAGTTAAGATCGAAAGCATCGAAAGAACAGGAGGTGTTCAGGAGAAGGAGACAGAAGAATAGAGCAAGATGCAATTAGAAGCAGGAACTACTCGTATATGCATTATATAGAGAGGATTGTAGTGTAGTGTTGCTGTTGTTGTTGTTGTTGCTGCTGTTGCCATTTGATACAAAATTCTAACGTGGCGCGGTTAATGCACGGTTTTCGTTGCCATTCTACTCGTAGAATAATTATATTACATAGATTATAATTGTTGTTGTTTCATTATGCTTTTTGGATTCATTTTATAATTTTAAAATTAAACATCAATCTAGTTGAAAATAGTATACGTATACAAACGTTTTGGTTGTTTCATCATATCATCATTATCATTATCATCAACATCTCATCTTTCAGACCACATTCAGAATTTCAATTTCATTTCAGCCACAACACGGATTTTCTTTTGAGTTGAGTTTTCGTTTGAGTTTGAAAACAACGCGTTACAATGGGTTTGGATTGGAGGGGCTAGAGTGTTATTAATATTACAAATTGGTTTCCATTTTCAGACACACAGCGGTTCGTTCTCCGCCGTACCCTCAATAAGTATTATATGTACGTGTACGCGTATTATCAATTATTATCGCTTCCAATAGTGATTTTGATTGCTCCTAGGGACTGATTATATTCAATATAAGTGTGTTGTGGTGTGGTGTATTGTGGTATTTTTATGGTTAGTATTCACGACAAGTTCACGTTGCTTTTAGTTGGTTGCATGCTCCGTTCAAGTGTATAAGTATATAGCTGTATGTTGTTGTAGTCGTAGTTTTAGTTGTCTTTGATTTGCATCTAATATCCCTGGCTTTGGAACATTTCACGTCACAATTTTTCTACTCCACCAAGTTGCCTGCAATGCAAAAATCATTTAGCAAATCCCCTAGAGAATTGCCCAAAAACAAACATACCTGGAATGCGTGGATGACGCGCTAGTACTGAGAAGCCCTTGCCCTGCGGCCCCTTGGGTGCACGAATGAGTATCAGGCGGGGCACCGTGTCATCGCCGTTGAGCTTGAGGCGCGAGATCAATCGATCGGGACGATCGTTTATTTTCACAACATTGCAAGCCGAAGATTTCCCATTGCGCTAGTGGATGTGGAGATACATTGGACAACCCCCTAGATATTCAATAAAGGCCAACGACTTACCTGATTGGTGACCACCGAAAACTCCACAGTATCGCCTGGATGCAAGGCCACCGTATTGCCCTGTACTTCGGACATGTGGAAGAATAGCTTCTTGCCATCCTCCACCTCAAAGTTGAGAAAACCAAACTGTCCCTTGATGGAGTCCACTGTGGCACGCTTCTTCAGCCGCACCGCATTCACATCGGCGGCCCGACCGCTCTCATCGATCCGGAAACTGACCAGATCGCCCTTCTGCAACAGATCTCGCTTGTTCACCAGACTGGTGATGCCGAACTCGTGCTGCGAGATGATTGTGGTGCGTTGCTCGTCGAGAATCTCAATGAGGCCGGCGTATTCCTGCTGGTCGGGGTTGATGCACCGCAGGGGACGCGCCACCACTCCATTGTGCACGGTTTCCAGCACCGACGGCTGCGGTATGGAGTTCTTGGGCAGCATCCGGACATTCTCGGCTGGCAGGCAATTGCCCGAAACAGAGGTGTTGCCATTGGGGGCCAGGGTGTACTCGACCTCCTGGCCGAGCTCGAGCCAATTGGGATTGCCCTGGTAGTTGCTAAAGTGAAAGAAGACCTCCTCGTCGTGGGACAGGGTCTCAATGAATCCAAAGTTCTCCTTCATCACGGCTATAAAGCCGCGATATAACTGCCCCCCCTCGGTGCCAGCCAGATTGTTGTTCTCCAGCTTGAAGTCGTCCAGGTTGGCCTGATTGCTGCTACTGCCCACGCTGCTGATGCTGCCCCCGGGGCTGCCGTGCATCACGTAGCCATTCTGCAGCGAGGCAGTCGAGCTGCTGCCACTGATGCCATTCGTAAGTGGCAGCTGATCGGTTTGAGTGAGGCTCGCGCTCGCCGCCGCCTGAGCAGCAGCTTGTTGGCTGATCAATTGCTGTTGCGCCTGCTGCTGCTGCAGCTGTTGCTGTTGCAGCGAAATTTGCTGTACATTGACGGCTATATACTCCTTGTTACGTTTGACCTAGCAGATGATACCGAAATCCAATCAGTTCGGAACTGTACGAGATCAGGAGCTTATCCAAGAGCTTACCATGTAAATATCGAAGCGTACACGCTCCCCAATCCTTGGTGGTTTTTCGCAGTCTTTAAGAAAATACATTATAGTCTTTTTAACATCGCCACTTTCGTAGGTAATCACACCGCCCTCGACGCGATCTTGAGATTTGATAGGGCTCTTGGGCGCCTCACGTGTCACGCAGCCTGCAAAAAATACAAAAAAACAGACAGAGAATAAGGATTGGAGATTAAAGATTGGCAAAGGGGGAAATTTTGTGTACTGTACCCTCAATATTGCTGGCCATCAGTGTCTCGAACTCTACAGAGTTGGGCGGCAAATGCTTGATGCGTATGGCCTGCAAACGCGAGTTGTTATAGGCCAAGCCTGGCTCCTGGATGACAGTGAACTCCACCTCATCGTTGACATCGATTTCGCGGCTCTAAACAAATCAGATTCATTATGATTAAAAGGTGTGATTAAGCTTCTATCTTTAATCCATTCATACCGTATCCAACACTTCGGTAAAGTGGAAAAACAAACGCACTTGCCGCTCCACGCAGCGCAGAAAGCCAAAGCCCTCCTTGAGCGAGGCAATGGTGCCTTGTTCTCGCTTCTCGCCGGACACCTTAAAGGTCTCGTCCAGCAGGGCAATGGAGGTAGCACGCTGCAGCTGATCCCGCCTGTCGGTGGCCAGCAGGAACTGCACCCAATCGCCGTGCCGTAGCGTGAAGTCACCCTTCTGGTCCTTGTCCCCGAAAGGCACTTCTACCTCAGAGTAATCGAGCGCCCTATAACGAATGCGTCCCGGCAGCGGGTCGTTGTTCTGGCGCACGGGATTGTTGCGATCGAGGGACTTTAGGACCTGTCCCTTGTAGACGGTGCTGTCCACATCCTCAAAGATTACGGAACCTGGGGGCAAGCGCGTGATGTTGCATGCAAACTCACGGCCCTGAGGTGGCACAGTTGCGGACTGCTGTTTATTTTGTAATGATACGATGGAGGGGTAAGTGTGTTTCTGTGTGCTGCATATACTTACGCTTCGGGTCTGGATGGTGAACTCGACATCGTCGCCAGGACGCAGCTCCACATTGCCCTCGGCCTCGGAGAAGTGAAAGAATATCTCCTTGACCACATCGGCGCGTTCGATGAAGCCAAACGACTCCTTCATGGAGCAGACCACTCCACGATACTTGACCGGCATGGCCGGATTCTCCAGGCGTATATGGCAGGCGCCCAGGTTGCCTCTGTTTTTGGGTCAAAGATGAATACAAAGATAGAATGCTATGCTTCTGGTTTCCTCGTGTGCTTTTCTCACCTTTGGTTCGTTGCAATTTGAAAGCTGACCTTGTCGCCAGCACGCAAGTTGACATTGCCCTCGACATCGTCTTTGGTATAGGGTAGAAAGAAACATTCGCCTCGATTCTCATAGCTGATCCGGCCCGTGGTCTCGCTGGAGCTGAGGACATTGTTGGCACTGTCCGTGCGCAGTTCGGTGGTCACTGTGCCGGTGACACGCTCCTCGGAGAGCACTACCTCGGGGGCTATCTTCGATACTTGACTAGCGATCGGTTTGCCGGTGCGACGGTCGTAGGTCATCTCAAACTCCACGGGATCGCCGATCTTCAGGTGATCAATGTTGCCGCTAAACTGCGAGAAGTGAAAGAACAGACGGGCCTGACGCTCGCAGCACTGAATGAATCCATAAGAGTGCTATTGGGTGAAAGAACATGGCCCGGCTTTAGAAAGTGCCAATAGAGTGAAAGTTTATCTCATTCCCATACTTACCAATAGCTTCTCAATGATACCCGTCTCCCGCGTGGTCTGATTGGGATCCGCTGCGGCGGCCGATGAACTGCTCGACGAGCCAAAGATTGAGGATGAACTGCCAGCCCCGTTGGTCAGCACACTATTGGATGTGAAGACCCCAATCTGTGGTACATCGGGCACTTCATTCGAATCGAACATTCCAATGCTGGCATGTTGTTGTTGCTGCTGCTGTTGTTGCTGTTGCTGCTGCTGCTGCTGGAGAAGCTGTTGCTGATGTTGTTGTTGCTGCTGCTGCTGCTGTTGTTGCTGTTGCTGCTGCTGCTGCTGCTGTTGTTGTTGATGTTGCTGCTGCTGCTGCTGTTGAAGGTGATGCATGGACTGCTGCTGCTGAGGCGATGGTCCCTGCTGCGGTTGAGGCTGCAGGCCCAGAGTAGTGGAGTCAAGCGTAAAAGTTCCAATGGTAGGAAAAGTTGTGGGAATTCCCAGATTGCGAATGGCATTTATATTGAAATAACCATCGCATGGCAAGTTGTCGTATATCTCTGTTGAACGAAAACCAAGAGAGAGAGAGAGTGGGTGTTAGAAGCAGCTCCATATACATTAATCTTTATGCTACACAAAATCATACAAAAACTCACCTTCGCCTGTGCGATAAACCTTCGATTGCGTATTCATGCTGAATTGATTGTTTGATTCGATATGAGGAAACAGAGTAGAACAAATGCTGATAGGAGGACTAGCAAGACGACTGACTGATGATTTTCGCTGATATTTTGATGGTTGACTCCCGAAATCTGTGTGATGAGAACGATGAGGGGCGGAACAATGAAGAGAGCGTGCGGTGATGGGTCCAAAAAGTGACCCACAAACAGAAAAACAAAACTGTTGTTCGTGTTTTATTGGTTTTGTCTTTGTTTTTTTAAATTAATTTTTGTTTTTATACTATTATCCTTATCCGTTTCGATTTTTAGTGTAATTGTTTTTTATCAAAGAGAAAAAAATTAAGCAATAAATACGTATTTGTTGTTCGTTTTTGTTTTTGTTTTTTCTTAAATGTTTTTGTTTTTTGTGTATATATATTTTGGCTAAACACTGGCACAAGAGGCACTGAAATTCCTTGTCTTCGAAGTTAATAAAAGTTTTGTCTTTTGCCGCGGGGCATGTCCCACACACAAAAAATTGCTATTCTTTCTTTTGGTTTTTCTTGGTTTGTTTGTTTTGTTTGTTGTGTTTTGTGTTTCCTGGTTGTGTTTTTGTTTTGTTTTTGTTTGTAAAAAATGCCGACAAATATTGTAACGTTGTAGTTTCTGGTTATCTTTTGGTAGTTGTGGTTACTCCTCCTCTGCTCTGCTCTGCTCTCCTCTGTCTCCTTCCTTCGTGGATCGCTTCCTTGTTTCTGCGAGTGTGTTTCGGGTGTACTTCAAAATATGGTTCTTGTTCTTGTCCTACGATGAAAATGCATTTCCTTTTCCAGCCGCTGCCGCCGCTGCTGCTGCTGCACTGCCGTTGGTTTTGGTGTTCTTTTTGCTGTTGTTTTTATTTTTGTATTTTAGAATTGAATTTGAATTATTACTTGCTTTATTGCATTTTTTGATGATTTTTCGGTCGATTTTTGAATATATATATATATATTTTTTTTTATATTTTAGTTTTACTAGAAAAATACACTGGGAATACTTTTACTTTTGGGTTAGATTAGGTTTGTTTTTTGTTTGTTTGATATTTGAATATTTTGTGTGTTTTTTTGCTTTTGTTTTTGTTTTTGGAAAGTGATTATAATTGTTCTTTCTATATAATGTACATAATATATATATATATATTTGTAGGCAATCGTTGTGGTTTATAGGAAGTAGTAGTGATTTATTACTATATTTGCTTTTCGGTTTCACGGTTTCCCTTGATTATTGAGTGATTCTGGAACTGGAGCGACCCTAGAGTGTGTGTGGCAGGGACTGCCGCGACGAAGATTGTGGGGAGAGTGCGGGGGCGGGGGTGGGCGCGGGCGGACGATGGGGACTGCTTCCACGTTGATTGTGAGACGGGGCTCCTTTGGGAGGAGGCTGTGCCAGCTTCTAGGGCTTGCAGGCTTCTCCTCTCCTCTCCACTCCTCTCGATTTCTTCTTCTCCTTCTATGCTCCTCCTCGTTCTTCTAATCTGTTTTTAAGTTTTCGCTGTACGTTGCTATTACTTTTCGGTTGCACAATTTGTATGATTTGTTACTGCTGTGTTCTTGTTATTGCTGTTTCATTCACTATTCACTAAGCAAAAAGTACGCGCTTTTCCGGCTTTAGAATATATATATATATATATATATATCGATATATGCAGATACTCTCATACGGCGGAGAGGTTCGGTTCTTTCTTCGCTGATCATTTACTATGGTTCTTGAAATCTTAGAGCCTACGATTTTTATTTGTGGTTTATGTGTTTAAATATATATATATTTTTTGAATGCGTTTTGAAGTCTTTTTTTATAACCTAGGGTTTTTTTTTATTTTCTTTTCTTGTTGTTGTTGGTTGGTTGGTTGGTTTTTGTTTCTTGTTTGTTTTTTGTTTTTCACTTATTCTTTCGGTTTTTTTGCTTACTAGATTTAAGCTTAGTTTAATAGTTTATATAATATAATATATAATATACTATAGTATATATGTATCGAAGTCCTTTAAGATATCACGAATTTGTTTCAATGTTTTTTTTTATCTTTTCATTTGCATTTGCTCTTAAGTGTAAAGTTGTTGTTGGTTTAAGATGTTCTCTCTCTCTCTCTCGTTCTCTCTCTTCGTTCGTTCTCCTTTTTCTTCTTTCGCTCCTTTGCTATTGTTAAAAATTACAGTTATTTCCCTTTCATTCCGTTAGAGATTTTTTTGTGTGGTTTTTTCTTGTTCTTTTTGTTTAAATTTATAAATTTACAGTAATTATCACAGAGTTGTTAAATCTTTCTTTGAATTTGTTTTGTTTTTTTTTTGTTTGTTTTGTTGTTTTTTTTACTTTCCTTTGTTGCAGTTGCTTTTTGTTTGTTGCTGTTGTTGTTTTAGACTTTTAACATTTCTCACTAGGTACACTTATAACAAAATTCAACTGAAAAACTAGTAAAAAACCATGTTTTGTTGTAAAATAAAAACGGTTGTTGTTTATGTTTTTTGGGGGGGCACAAGGCCGGCACAGTTTTTTCCCCTCAGTTGTATTTTCTATATTTTTCCGTGTTTTCCTTTCGCTCGGTTTATGTACAAACAAATGTTGTTGGCAAAGTTGTTCGATTATGTTTAATGGTTTTGTTTTTGTTTTGCTTTTGCGTTTTCGTAGTTGTTCTAGGGTTTCATTATCATTCTCCTTCTTCTTCGTATTTTGTTGTGGTGTAAAAGGGTACTTAAAACTTATAGAATTCTTGTAGATTTTTGGTTTTAATGTTTTTTTTTTTTGCTTTATTGTTACCGTTATTTAGTATATTTCTTATGTTTTTGCTTTTGCTATTCAAACAATTTTGCGGCACAATTGTTGCTTTATCGTTTTTTTTGCTTTGCTCCTTCTTCCGTTAGTTCTTTCGTGCTCCTGGCTGCTATTTTCTGCTACACTCTCTTTCCATATGTCTCTCTCGCTCGCACACACTGTCTTGGGCCCGTTGGGCTCTTACCGTTATCTAGGCTTAAAGGTTAGAAGTTTTTGTTTTCGTTTTTATTTAAATAATTTAAGATTGATGTTGCGTTTAACTTAAATTGTTTTTTTTTTGTTTGTTTTAGTTTTGTTTTACTCCCGGTTATTTTTGTACTTTAAAACATTAATTCAGTTGTTTGTTGGTTGGTGTTCTTTTTGTTGTTGCTGCTGCTTCTGTAGCTTCCTTTTTTTGTTGTCTTAATGTTAAATAATTAGCAAATTGAATTCACTTTGACTTAACAGAAAAATTCGTAATTAAATTAAAGCTTTTTGCAGGAAAATAAATGAGGAATTTTGGGATTGATGTTGCTTTTGTTTTTGAAAGTTTTTTGTTTTCGCGTTGTTTGCCTTTGCTTTTGTTTTTACTGTTATTCGAGCTTTCGAGACGTCACAGAACGTCTGCCGGTTTTTTCCTACCGCTAGGTTTTCCGTTGGGTTTTCAGTGCTTGCCGTTTTTTGCTTTTTGCTTCCTCTTTTTCTCAATTTTCTTTTTAGTTTTGCGTTTGTTGTTGGTTTTTATGTTTTTTGTTGGTGCTTTTGAGTATTGACGAGTTAATTTCACAGCGTTTACAATTTGTTTGGTTTTGTTTTTTGTTGGTTTTGTATTTGTTTTATTTGAAAGTCTTCCGTTTCAAGCTTGGCTTGTTGTTTTTGTTGTATTTTTTGTTTTATTTGCGCAGTCGCTTTGTCTCCCTCTCACCTACGGGACGCAGGCCACACGGACGTCCCACTACTGGTAGGATCTCGGCGTTCCCTCTGTTTTTTCTCTCTTTCTTTGCAAAGAAAAGCAAACATTAACTAAAGAAGTGTTCAAAACCAAAAAGTTGATGGCAGAATTTTTGCTTTTGCCCTCGTTGACTTTTTTGAGCTTTGTGTTGATGTATTTGTTGTTGGTGTAGTAGTTGTTGTTGATTTTTAGATATTTTTGCTGTGACTTTCAATTATTTGTATGTATTATTTTTTGATTCATTTTCGATGGTGTTTAAATTATTTATTTTTTTGTTGTATTTTTTATATATTATTATTATTTTTATTCAGATTATGATGAAAGTGATGTCAAAACGGAGTTTTAGTTACAAAAGCTGCAAGAAAGTAAGGGATTGGGCAAAGAAAGGTGGAAACAATTAGCAAATACTTTTTTTTTTTTGATGGGCAGTGAAATCTACACCGCAGCAGTCGGCTGCAGTTTTATTGATTTGGCTGCCGGAAAAATTGCACGCACACATACACGCGTGCACTCTCTCTCATTCACACACACACACACACACACACACACACACAGCAGTGTACTGCAATTGTACACTATTTTTACACTTTTGTTGTGGTTTTTTGCGTAAATTTAGCAGCCGACTGTACATACAGCACCACATAAACCGACACACACACACATTCACGCAGTGCCAAGTTGGTAAAAAAGTTTTTTTTTTCACTTTTTCGGGCTGCAAATTTGGCACCCCTCAGCCACAGACCAGACACAATTGAAAGCAAAGAAAATTGTTTTTTAAGCGTTCAAACTTTGTTTTTTGGGCATTTTCTATGTTTCACTATCACAGCACAGCTTACGGCACATTTACCACATAATTCCAGGCCGAATTTTAGTTAATTAATTGTCTTATTTGAAGAGAAAAAAATTTTCACCAGCAGCAATACGTACCACACGACAGCACAACAACAAAATATACCGCCTGACCCACACAAATATACCGAAATATACCGTCAAATTTTAATAATATACCGCAAATGAACCGATGCAAATCGTACTCCTCGATTTTGACTTTCGGTTGAATATAGCTAGCTTAATAGGACCTTATCCTTGAACACATAATTTTATCCGACTGATGAATCACTTTTCAACGAAGTTTTGTAATTTTAAGGACTTTGAATTTTTTTGCAAATTGGCGGTAACTTTGAAAATACCTTACCTTCTTTAATACAGCTTTAAAATTAAATTTAATAGATTGATTGTATGTCTGATATATAGCATTATATACAGATATAGCGTAAATAAACTTTTAACTCAATTTTGACATCAAAACATTCAGAAAAGTATATAATATACCGTAAATGGTCACCCCGAACACATACCTTACGCAGAACTTCAACAAGCACGAGCCGCCATGTTTGCCGACTTTATATATTTCGATAATATCAATGTAGCGACTTATTTTGTTGGTGATAATATAAATATGATAATATGGATATTTGTGGCATATTTCACAAACGAAACTGAGTTTGGAGCCATTTAACACTGACAGTCTGACAGT